AGAGGCCTAGGTGGGAGGATGGCTTAAGTCTGGGAGGTTGAGGCTACAGTGAGCAGTGATCATTCCACTGTACTCCAGCCTGAGCAACAGAGTGAGACTGTCTCAAAAAGAAACAAACAAAAACCCCATCAACCAAGTACCTGACCCACAGTTTCTGGTGAAGCTGTTTTCTCCCCGATCCATTTCTCAAGAGTGTTGAGGATATCACTGAAACTCAACACAGGTCATATAGAAGTTGAAGATTTTGGTATTTTTTAGTTAATTGATTAAATGAGATTAATACATTCCCTATATTCTGAGAGTTTGAAGAAACGGGAGAAACTGCAAAGCCCAAGTATGCATATAGGGATAATAGCACAGTATTTAAGAGCTCAGATTTTATAGCCTGGCATGGTGGCATGCGCCTGTGGTCCCAGCTACTTAGGAGGCTGACGCTGAGGCTGGCAGACAGATTGAGGCTGGGAGGTCGAGGCTGCAGTGAGCTGTGATCGCGCCATTGCACTCCAGCCTGGGTGACAGGAGAGCATCTCAAAAAAACAAAACAAAAACCCTTGGCTGGGCGCGGTGGCTCACGCCTGTAATCCCAGCACTTTGGGAGGCTAAGGTGGGTGAGTCACCTGAGGTCAGGAGTTCGAGACCAGTCTGACCAACATGGTAAAATCCCGTCTCCACTAAAAGTAAAAAAATTAGCCTGGCATGCTGGCATGTGCTTATAATCCCAGCTACTCTGGAGGCTGAGGCAGGAGAATCGCTTGAACCTGTGAGGTGGGGGTTGCAGTGAGCTGAGATCGCACCACTGCACTCCAGCCTGGGAAAAAAGAGCGAAACTCTATCTAAAAAACAAAACAAAACAAAAAAACACCCTGAACTTTGATGCCTACGTCCCAGCTTTGCCAAAATCTTGCTGAGAGTCTGATGAAATCAGTTTTCAAAGCTTCTGTTTCCCCCTACATAAAATGACCAATGCTACCTGACCTGGTCTGGTTACTGTGAGCGGTAAGTTAAACGATGCATGTCAGCCCAGAGCGCAGTCCTGACACACAGTGACAATCATCCTCGGCACCCTCATTGTCACTGTGCCCTGCAGCTATAGCCAGGGACAGCTGCCCTCTGTACCTGGCTGTGATGGGATAGAAAGTGACCTTCCTCGTGAGGATGAGTCCCAAGCATACAGTATGGCCTCTCCTGTCCCTCTGTGACTTTGTGGGCATAGGGATAAGTGGTGTGCCAGAAAAAAGGGGGGGTAGGATGAAGGTTCCCACAAGGTCAAGACATGGAGTTGGAATCCATCATTTGACATTTAAAGAGTCCCACAGAATTTCTGAGGAAGGGCAAACAGGAGAGCTGTGTCAGAATGCACCGCGGAAAGGGGCTTGGGGACTACATTAGGGACACAGCAAGAATCCAGCCAGCTTTAGTTTCACAAGTCCAGGAAGTGGAAGGGATATTTACTTATCTTCCTAACTGGCTTATCATCTCATGCAAAGGAACTTCACTTTATACCACTAGGAGGCCTCCATGGGAACAGAGTCCTGCAGTGGGATGGGGAACAAGAAGATGCCAAAGAAACTCAAGACATCCTCTTTCTGGAAAAGATTCACTAGGATGCAGTTTATCAGCACATGTCAGTTACCATCAGGATTTCCTTGCTTATCTAAAGGCCATTTATCAGGTGTCCTAGTCCCCTGAAAGCTAACCAAAAATCAGAACAAGGGATCAAAGGTCTTGTGATACCCCTTCTGGAGCAGTCAGAGGATTATAAAGCCCATGAACTAAAGGTGAGGGACTTTAGCTGCAAGAGAGTCCCTAAAACCCTCTCTCAATGACTACCTTGTTTTCTTTTAGACTCAGTTTTAAATAATGTGGCTGATTTATCGGTCCATTGCACATCGAAAGTCATAAACTTGAAGTGGCCAAGGGCTAGGGGCTGGTACACTGAGGAGCGATGGCTGCAGCCTGACCACAAGCGAGACAACACCAACTCTGAACAGCAACACAGCACAAGGGGCAACTCCATGTAGGTCAAACAGCTATATGCACCTTCCTAGATCTGAGGGTGTCACTTCTCTGACATGAGACCTGGCCACAATATTTTGACTCTCTTCGGATGGCATGGGATGTTAAGAATGGCCATGGCATGGGATGTTAAGAATGGACATGCTTTGGCTTATGACACGTGAACAGAAATAATGAGAGTCACTCCCAGGCAGAAACTCTCAGAGCTAGCAGGTGATTCATCAGGCTTTCTTCCTGCTCCACTATGGTGAACAGCAACACTTCCAGATAACACCAGCTCTACCAGCCTGGATCCTAGAATGAGGATAAAAATCATGCAGAGCGGAGCCTACAGCCGACCAAAGAGGACGAGTGGCATGGGCAAGAAACAAATTTTGTTGCTTTTGGGGTTGCCTGTTACCACCATACAATTTAGTCTATCTTGACTGGAACATCCTAAAAGGTTGAATGAAGTCAGCTCACTTTGTTTAAAAAGTGTGTGCTACCTTTTTGGTAGATTATCATTCAAAATAATCAATATTATATTTTGCTACCTGTAGGATAATTTTCAATTATATGGAAAATTCACCTAGTGTTTGCTGGATAAATGAGAGATTACCAGAACATGAATCGAATGAAGGAAAGGATCTAGTTTCTGAACCACTCCCCTCAATAGGGAGGCTCCAGGTCTCTTGTTCATGGTTTTGTAAAATATGCCTACGTTACTTATGGAGCAAGGTAGAAGCCGGGTCTCACGTGCTACTACTGCCAGAACTGGCCTCTCAGCATTTGCAGAACCAGCATAAGGGTGGCGTATATTTGGGATTGGTCTACGGCTGGTTCTGCAAGTGCTGAGGGGCTCTGGTGCCCATGTGGTAGTTGAAAGGCCCCATTATATATCTGTCTGTGCTCTCATAGAAGGAAATCTATGGGCAGGGTGTGGCGGCTCATGCCTGTAATTCCAGCACTTTTGGAGGCCGAGGCGGGTGGATCACCTGAGGTCAGGAGTTCACCACCAGCCTGACCAATATGGTGAAACCCTGTCTCTACTAAAAAAATACAAAAATTAGCTGGGCATGGTGGTATGCACCTGTAGTCCCAGCTACTCAGGAGGCTGAGACAGGAGAATTGCTTAAAACTGGGAGGTGGAGGTTGCAGTAAGCCAAGATCAGGCCACTGCACTCCAGCCTGGGCGACAGCGTGAGACTGCATCTCAAAAAAAAAGAAAAAAAAAAAAGAAGAAGGAAATCTATGATGTGTTCTTGAGTAAAAGAGCAAGCCAACAACTTCTTGGGAATATATAGTCTTTTTAAGCATACATGGCACATTTACAACACTGATCTCACACTAGGCCAACAACCAAGTTTCAACACATTTTGAAGGATGGAAACCATATGGGTCATTTTCTCTGACCACAAAGTAATTAAGCTAGAAAAGAAAAACGGTAACTAGAAAAATCTCATGTTTGGAAGGTAGGAAATACATTTTTAAGTAACCCATGGGTTACACATCCTCACTTAATCCTTCTAACTATTCATAATGCAGACCCTCATTTTAGAAATGCAGGAGCTGAGATACCATTTTCTCAAATTTACCCAGTTAGTGGTAGAGCCAGGACTCAAGACCAGGCTCCATAACTCTAGAGCCCAGGGCTTTAATGATATCCTTCTTACGATGTATCTCATGGGAATTCACAGATCCTCCCCCACAGCCTCAACAATCTGCTGTTTCACCTCTTAGAAAGGCCAGCCGTTGACAGGTGGAGACATAGGCCCAGCTTGCTCTTGTGGCCCTGACCATGGGCCATCGTGTAGAGATACATTTCCTTTTTGCTCTTGCCTACTTGGACTGAGGCACGAAGTCTTGAGTAGTGGAGAGGAGAGTTTCAGTTTGATGCTCCCAAACAACTTTGAACTGGATCCCTAAGACAATTTCCTTCCTTTCAAAGTTTTTTTCCCACATGGGTCCAAGTGGTAAGTGAACACAGAATAAAGACAGAAGGAAGCCAATTCCAGATGGCTCTCCATCTTGCTCTAATGCAGATTAAACAGAAAATTCCAACATAACATTAGGCAAACATGAGTATTAATATCATTCACATTATAAATGGAACAGAATGGAAATTCAGTCTGTATCTGACTTAAATTTGGGGCAAGGGCCTCAGAGCCAAAAAACAGACAATAAAAGCACCCTGATTCTGAGCGAGTTGGAGATTCGTAGTATTTGAGGTAAGAAACACAACTAAGGCATTCCCAGGCCTCTCTGGGAGTGGCCTTCTGAGGTTTTAAATTTTATGTAACTCTCTCTCTCTCTCTCTCTCTCTCTCTATCTCTCTCTCTCTCTCTCTTTCTTTCTTTCTAAGTTGGAGTCTTGCTCTGTCACCCAGGCTGGAGTGCAGTGACATGATCTTGACTCATTGCAACCTCCACCTCCTGGGTTCAAGCGATACTCCTGCTTCAGCTTCCTGAGTAGCTAGGACTAGAGGCATGTGCCACCATGCCTGGCTAATTTTTTATATGTTTGGTAGAGATGTGGTTTTGCCGTGTTGGCCAGGCTGGTCTGGAACTCCTGGCCTTAAGTGATCCATCTGCCTTAGCCTCCCAAAGTGCTGGGATTACAGGTGTGAGCCACCACATCCGGCCTTCAGTTTATTTTTAAGATGGGGTCTTGCTTCACTGCCCAGGCTGTAGCTGAGTTTTAACTGACCAAACTACTTCCCTGTTGTGGCAAGGGCCTGTGCAAATGGCCATTTAACCCTGTTGTTCTGTCATCTTCCCCATCTCAACCTGCTTGTGTTGTTTCCTATCAAGGTACATTTTTAGCAAAACGCCCAAAGACATCCAGAGCTTCTGAGGTACCTCTTTGTACCTCAGTTTCTCTCCCTGTGCTGTGAGAGCCATGCTGTCTGCCCCTCTGTGGGCTTACAAATACAACTTACTACTGTAAGTATAAGTAGTACTATGTTTCATGCAATGAGAAGACTTGGAAATAAATAGAAGGTGTGATCACAGCCCATACCCTAGAAATTTACCTAAAGTGCTCAGACTTCACCAAGTGGCCCTGGGGAAGGAGAAGGCTAAGAGGTAGGAAGAGACAGTGTTGGGTTGGGCTAGAGTTCCTGACGGTAGGAATTTTCACTCCATCCTTTGGCTTCATTTCTTCCACTGAAGCAGCACCGGTCATGGGTGAGGGAATGAGCTCGCTGGGCTAAGTCTTTACATCCAGGCCTCACAGAGCTCAGCTCGGGGCTTGGGTTTCCCCCAGTCCCACTCTACTGCTTATTCCCCACTCCATCAGGACTAAGGCACCAGAAAGTCTGTTGGTCAATCAGCAAGTGATCCCAGTCCCAAAGTGATTTTAAGATCAAGTCTAAGATCAAAGTACCCAGCTATCCGAGTAGCAGTGCGATTACACCTTTCAAGCTGTGAACAGGGTCATGTTGACCACTTCCTGATAGGAGCTCATGGGTGCCCCTGAGTAGCTCCCAAATGGAAACTTGGTTCAAGTGACTTTTACAAATGGCCAGTTGTGCCTACAGGTTGGACAGATGGTGGGGGGCCCCAGGGGTGAGCGACGGTCCAATGCCTTCAATAAGGTTGTTCCATTGATCATAGTCTTCTTTCAGGTCTGAATGGGAAAAAAATAAGGTTAGGCAAATCATTGTGAAGTTTGGTCAAAGAGAAGCTGTTAAGGATTGAGGGGGTCATCCTAGAGACAGGAGTGCCTGGGATACCAAAAGGACTGGTTATGGTGGGGTTGGTGGTGGTAATGATAACTATATTCAGTGCCTTTGTAAATAACTTATGTAATCCATAATAATTCAATAACAATAATAACAGAGGGTAACATTTATTGATGGAGAATTCATTCTAGGGGTTGTACTAAATGCTTTACATTCATGGTTTCATTTAATTTTCACCATATCCCTATGAGCTAAGAATTACTACTAGTCTTATATATTTCAGGACACCCTGATTTGCCTAAGGTCATTACAGCTGTTAAATAGTAAAGATAGAATTCAAACCCAGGTCAGAAAGTCAGAGAAGGCTGGGCATGGTGGCTCATGCCTGTAACCCTTGTGCTTTGGGAGGCTGAGACAGGAGGATCACTTGAGGCTAGGAGTTCCTAGACCAGCCTGGGCCACGTAGCAAGACCTCAACTCTATAAAAAAATAAAGAAATTAGCTAGGTATGGTTGTGTGAGCCTGAAGTTCTAGTTACTCAGGAGGCCAAGATGGGAGGATTGCTTGAGGCAAGGAGCTGGAGGCAGCAGTGAGGTATAATAATGCCACTGCCCTCCATCCTGGGCAACAGTGAGACCCTTTTTCAAAAAAAGAAAGGCAGAGAAAATCAAAGGTCTAGTTCCAGGATCAAGGAGGTTACTACGCAAAAAGCAGTCTCTGACAGCCCAGTCTGTGGGTGTAAATCCAGGGCCACTTCAGTGAAGGGCAAGAGCAACAGGACAGCAATATCATGGAGCAGCATAACCCCAGGAATGACTCGAGAGGGGGCTCCCAGCTCCCAGCTGGTAGGACTAACTACATGGCAAGAACAGGCACAAAGAGTCCAAGCCCTCGGGCTGAGGAAACAGGGGAGGCTGCGCAGGTGTCCTTCCTCAAAACAGACTCTGGGGCACAAGGCAGGGACCACTCCCATGAATTTGTGGATCCCCAGTGCCCTGCCAGGAATCTGGCACAGAATAGGCCCTTGACGTGTAACAGCTACATAGTCATTAATTCAAAAAACAATGAGCACACCCACTACGTGCCACACTCTGTTCTTGGAGCCAAAAATACATCCACAAACAAAACAGATGGCAACTGCTGTTCTCACAGAGCTCATCGTCTAGTGGGCAGAGACAAACAATACACATAGTAAATTACACAGGATGTAAAACGGGAAGAGGTGCCCGCCGAGGAAAGCACTGGTGGTGGCTGGAGGTTGGCTGAAGGGAGGAAGGAAGGGCCCAATGTTTTAAAAAGGGTGGTCAGGGTGGGGCTCACTGAGAAGGTGAGATTTAAGGCAAGGTTTGAAGGCAGTAGGTGTATACCGCGAGACTACCCGGGAGGAATGTTCCAGACAGAGGAAGCAGCAGTGCAAAGACCCTGAAGCAGCAGCATTCCTGGAGCGTTTGAGAGGAGCAGGGGAGGATGCCAGGAGGGACTGGAGGCCACATTCCATAGACCTGGCAGGATAATGGAGTCTGGGTTTGACTCTTGGAGAGACTGGGAGCTGCTGGAGAATTCGGAGCAGAGAGTGAGAAGGTCTCACTAAATTCCTTAAAGGCTCGCTGTGTCTGCTCTATGAAGAAAAGACTCTTCAGTGCTTGCTTTGGCAGCACATACACTAAAACTGGAACAATACAGAGATGAGCATGGCCCTTGCACAAGGATGACATGCAAATTCCTTAAGCATTCCATATTTTTAAAGAGAAATAAATAAATAAATACCATGATTTGAGGAAGCCAAAATAATAATTAAATAAATAAGGCCGGGCAGAGTGGCCAACACTTGTAATCCCAGCACTTTGGGAGGCCGAGGTGGGTGGATCATGAGGTCAGGAGTTCGAGACCAGCCTGACCAACATGTAGAAACCCCGTCTCTACTAAAAATACAAAATTAGCTGGGCGTGGTGGCGCATGCCTGTAATCCCAGCTACTCAAGAGGCTGAGGCAGGAGAATCGCTTCAACTCGGGAGGCAGAGGTTGCAGTGAGCCGAGATTGTGCCACTGCACTCCAGCCTGGATGACAGAGCGAGATTCCATCTCAATAAATAAATACATACATACATACATACATAAAGTAAAAAAATAAAATGACTCTTCAGTAAAGTTTCAGGACACAAAATTGGTATACAAAAATCAGTGGTGGTGATTTTTTGGGTGCACCGGCTCATACCTGTAACCCTAGCACTTTGGGAGGGTAAGGCAGGAGGATTGCCTGAGCCCAGGAGTTTGAGACCAGCCCAGGCAATAAAGTGAGACAAAGAAACAAACAAAAATATCAGTGGCATTTCTATACACCAATTAACAAGCTGAGAACGCAATCATGAACTCAATCCCATTAATAATGGCTACCAAAAAAATCTCAAAACAAAACCTAGGAATACATTTAACCAAAGAGGTAAAAGGTCTCTACAAAGAGAGCTACAAAATACTGATGAAAGAAATTGTAGACGATACAAGCAAATGGAAAAAACATCCCACATTCATGGAATGGAAGAATCAATGTTTTAAAAATGACCATAATGCTCAAAGCAATTTACAGATTCAATGGAATTCCTATCAAACTACCAATGTCATCTTTCACAGAATTAGGAAAAAAGTCCTCAAATTCATATGGAACCAAAAAAGAGCCTGAATAATCAAAGCAATTCTAAGCAAAAAGAACAAAGCAGGAGGCAGCACATTACCCAACTTCAAATTATATTACAAGGTTATAGTAACCAAAACAGCATGGTACTGGTATAAACACAGAAAAATAGATCAACGAAACAGAATAGAGAACCCAGAAATAAAGTCCACCTACCTACAACCAACTGATCTTTGTCAGAATCAACAAAAATATATACATGGGGAAAAGATGCCCTATTCAATAAATGATGTTGGAAAAATTGGATAGCCATATCAAGAAGAACGAAACAGGACCCATATCTCTCAGCATATGTAAAAATTAACTCAAGATGGATTAAAGATTAAACATAAGACTTTAAACTAGGGCCGGGCATGGTGGCTTATGCCTGTAATCCAAGCACTTTGGAGGCCAAGGCAGGTAGATCACCTGAGGTCAGGAGTTCAAGACCAGCCTGACCAACATGGTGAAATCCCATCTTTAAAAAAAAAGAGACTTGAAACTATAAAAATCCTAGAAGAGGCCAGGCGCGGTGGCTCAAGCTTGTAATCCTAGCACTTTGGGAGGCCGAGGCGGGTGGATCACAAGGTCAAGAGATTCGAGACCATCCTGGTCAACATGGTGAAACCCTGTCTCTACTAAAAATACAAAAAAAAATTAGCTGGGCATGGTGGTGTGTGCCTGTAATCCCCGCTACTCAGGAGGCTGAGGCAGGAGAATTGCCTGAACCCAGGAGGTGGAGGTTGCGGTGAGCCGAGATCGTGCCATTGCACTCCAGCCTGGGTAACAAGAGCGAAACTCCATCTCAAAAAAAAAAAAAAAAAAAAAAAAATCCTAGAAGAAAACCTAACAAAAACTCTTCTGGACATTGGCTTAGGCAAAGAATTTGTCCTTAAAAACAAATGCAGCAACAACAAAAAATAGACAAATGAGACTCAAACTAAAAAGCTTCTGCACCACAAAAGAAACAATCAATAGAGTAAACAGACAACCTACAGAATGGAAGAAAATATTTCCAAACCATATGTCCAACGAAGGGCTAATATCCAGAATCTATAAGGAAAGGCTGGGCACAGTGGCTCACACCTATAATCCCAGCAATTTGGGAGGCCGAGGGTGGTGAATCACTTGAGGTCAGGAGTTTGAGACCAGTCTGGCTAACATGTGAAACCCTGTCTCTACTAAAAATACAAAAAATTAGCCGGATGTGGTGGCACGTGCCTGTAATTCCAGCTACTCAGGAGGCTGAGGTAGGAGAATTGCTTGAACCTGGTGGGTGGAGGTCACAGTGAGCTGAGATCACACCACTTCATTCCAGCCTGGGCGACAGAGCAAGACTCCATCTCAACAACAACAACAAAATAATAATCTACAAGGAACTCAAACAACTCAAGAAGAAAAAAATACATAATTCCATTAAAAAGTAGGCATTCTGCAGAAACTGGACTCAAAAAAAGAAAAAAGTGGACAAAGGACATGAATAGATGTTTTTTCGAAAGAAGACATACAAGTGTCCCACAAACATATATAAAAAAAGCTCAACTTCACTAATCATCAGAGAAATGCAAATTAAAACCACAATGAGATAGTATCTTATACTAGTCAGAATGGCCATTATTAAAAAGTCCAGAAACAATAAATGTTGTTGAGAGTGGGGAGAAAAGAGAACACTTACGCACTGTTGGTAGAAATGTAAATTAGTACAACCTCCATGGAAAATAGTATGGAGATCCCTCAAAGAACTAAAAACAGAACTACCATTTGATTCAGCAATCCCACTACTGGGTATCTACCCAAAGGGAAACAAATCATTACACCAAAAAGACACCTGCACTTGTGTGTTTATCACAGCACTAGTCACATAGCAAAGACAGGAATCAACCTAAGTGCCCATCAACAGAAGATCTGATAAGAGAAAATCTGGTGTGTAGATATACCATGGGATATTACTCAGCTATAAACAAAGAATGAAATCATGTTTTATAGAATCGCAGGCCATTATCCTAGGTGAAATAAGTCAGAAACAGAAAGTCAGATACTGAATGTTGTCACTTATAAGTGGGAGCTAAACAATGGGTAGAAAAACAAGACACTAGAGACTCCAAAAGGTGGGAGGGTAAGAGAGGGGTGAGGGTTGAAAAATTACCTACTGAGTACAATGTTCACTATTCGGGTGATGGGTACAGTAAAAGCCCTGATTTCACCACGTGCAATATACCCATATAAGAAAATTGCACTTTTACCCTCTAAATCTATACAAAGAGAAAAAAGAACAACAAGACTGTGAGGGGGAGGGACTGGCAAGGGTGACAGTGAGGATGCCAGTTAGGAAACTACTGCACTAATTTGTATGAGATGATTTGGACAGGATGGTGTTGTGGGGTGGTGACAAGTGATATGATACTATGCGTCGTTTGAAGGTAGAGCCAATAGGATTGTGTGAGGGACTGGATGGGAGGCACGAGAGAAGAGACAAGGATGAAGACTTTGACCTGAGTAACTAGAAGGATGGAACTATGATTAACTAATAAGGGAAAGAGTGCAGGTGAAGTTGGTTTTGTTTGTTGCATCTATTAGATGACCAAGTAGAGATGTGGATCAGTGACAGAGGAAGTCGCCAGCAAGGAGGTGACACATAAAGCCATGAGAAGAGGTCCAGACACTGGGCCCTGCAAGCAGCAAAGTAGATGGAAGAGGACCAAACATGGAGATAGGAGAAAGTCCACAGTGTGGATTCTCAGAAGTGAAGATGGGAGTTTCCCAGAGGAGGGGGCCATCAACTCCATCAGAAGCTGCAGAGACTTCCAGAGATGGGAAATGAGAACTATTGGAGTTAGCATTCTGAAGGTCACTGGGGACCCTGACAATAGCAGTTCTGATGAAGTACTGTGATGCAAAAGCCTGGAGTGGGTTAAGAGGGAATGGGAAGAGAGAAATTAGAAAAATCGAGGGCAGACATTCTTTTGAGTCTTGCTGTGATGGGGAACAGGAGATGGGTGGCAACTGCAGGGGATATTGAAATCAAGAGACAATTTCTTTTTTCTATGAGAAACTTCAGAATTGAACCAGGAGAGGGAAAAATTGATGATCTAAAGTAAAGAGGGGCTGGGTGCGGTGGCTCACGCCTGTAATCCCAGCACTTTGGGTGGCTGAGGTAGGCAGATGACTTGAGGTCAAGAGTTTGAGTCCAGCCTGGCCAACATCCAGCCCGGGTGACAGAGCAAGACTCTGTCTCAAAAATACATACATACATACATACATAACATAAAAAGGGAAAAAATCACTGGCACAGTCATGTTGAGCAGGCAAAAGAGGATGGAATCTCGTGTTGGGGGTTGGCCTTAATTAGGCAACTGAGGCAGGAACTCTAGAAACCACAGGGAAAGCTGATTCTACACGGGAAGGTGGGGAGAGGTGGTATTGGGAGTCTGAGGAAAGCTGGTTGCTTCCATTTTCTCAGTGAAGTGGGAGGCAAAGTTAGCCAAGAGACAGGATAAAGGAAGAGGTGTTAGAGGTCTGAGGAGACAGAAGATGTGAAATAGTCTTCCAGGAGAGTGGGAGAGGAGTGGAGGTGGAGCCAGGAGCTGCATGTAGTTAATATGAAGGAAGCACCAGTCTTCATAGATCATATCCCCAGAGCAGCCAAACAAGGGCTCTCAGAAGTATTATTTTCCAGAGTGAGAGGTTCAGCTGAGCCACTTACAGCCTATTTTAGTTTCCCATGTGACAATGTACTATGCGGCTACTAAAAGCTTTTCTCTCTTTGCAAAGCTAATTAGCCTGGGCCCGGACCCTTGGCCCTGTTCTTTTCTTTAGAGACAGGGTCTTGCTGTGTTACCCAGGGTAAAGTGCAATGGCACAATCACAGCTCACGGCAGCTTCAACCTCCTGGGCTCAAGCAATCCTCCTGCCTCAGCCTCCCAAAGTGCTGGGATTACAGATATGAGCCACTGTGCCTGGCTGACTTTTTCAAACTGTCTTATCTCTATCTCTCTTTCTCTTTTTTGGGGGGTGGGGTGGGGTGGGGAGTTTTGCTCTTGTATCCCAGGCAGAAGTGCAATGGCGCAATCTCAGCTCACTGAAACCTCCACCTCCGGGGTTCAAGCAATTTTCCTGCCTCAGCCTCCCAAGAAGCAGGGATTACGGGCATGCACCACCATGCCCGGCTAATTTTATATTTTTACTAGAAACAGGGTTTCTCCATTTGGTCAGGGTCTCAAACTCCTGACCTTAGGCAATCCACCCTCCTCCCAAAGTGCTGGGATTACAAGCGTGAGCCACCGCACCTGGCCCAGACTGTCTTATCTCTTATCACCTGGATTACTTACTGCAAGAGCCTCCTACCAGAGCTCCCTGCCTCACCTTGCCCCATCCTATACAATGGACCAGACTGTGGGCACAAGCCTAATAATGACAGTCACCTGCTCAGAACCCAACAGGGGCTCTTGACGGCCTGTGGAATAAAATTCAAACTCACTTCAGCAAATCCATGGGCTTCTACATTTGGCTTCTGCCCACTTCTCTATCTTTGTCTTTCCACAATTCACTCTCCTGAGTTCCAGATACACTAAACAGTTTCCCAATCCCAACCAGGCCCGCTCAAGCATTTGTGCCTTCTGTCCAAAAGATCCTTACCCTTTCCTGCCTGTGAACCCTCTGCTAAGATTACAGGCAAGTACTGTGTAGTCCAGGAAGCCTCTATTCCTAGCTGTTCTTCCTCTCCTTCAAAGTTAGGTGACTGTCTTCCGTGTGGACAGTCTAAAGACTGATTGCCGGCCGGGTGTGGTGGCTCATGCCTGTAATTCCAGCACCCTGGGAAGCTGAGGCAGGCAGATCACCTGAGGTCAGGAGTTCAAGACCAGCCTGATCAACATAGAGAAACCCATCTCTACTAAAAATACAAAATACAAGATTAGCTGGGCATGGTGGTACATGCCTATAATCCCAGCTACTCGGGAGACTGAGGCAGGAGAATCTCTTGAACCCAGGAGGCAGAGGTTGTGGTGCACTGAGATCATGCCACTGCACTCCAGCCTGGGCAACAAGAGCGAAACTCTGTCTCAATAAAAAAAAAAAAAAAGACTGAAAGCCTACTGTGCTACTGTGGCCATGGAACTACCAGAGTCACCACCATCACAGTGCAGTGACTAAGAGCATGGGCCTTGGAACTGGACAGCCTAGGATGCATATTGGCTTTGCCACTTAATAACCAGATAACCTTGAACAAATTACTTAAATTTCCTATGCTTCAGTATCCTCCTCTGTAAAATGCGGTTAATAATAAAAGTATCTACTGGAAAGGGCTGTCTCTAGAATTATACACGATAAAGTGCGAGCAGAAGGCCTAGCATAAATTAAGTCCTCAACAATCTTCCCTCAGTCTAAATTTTTCCTGCCTCCCATTTCCTTGTCTGCTGGTCTCTAACAATGAGTATCTTAGCTCAACAGGTACTGCTTTTAAAGGGAGCCCAATTGTGCCACGGTGGGCTTCCTATCATTTTTAATCTTAAGCTTTTACAATGACATGGTGCCTATGAGGAAACAGGGAAAGGGGGCTGAGGGAGGACCAGGCAGTCAGGCACCATTAAAGTCTTGAGACTTTCCCTGCTTGCCAGGTGATAAGAATGATGCCCTGAGGTCTCTTATTGATCCTAAGGTCTCCAGATGCAGGCTGGAATCATGGCTTATAATGTGCAAGATGAAATGATCAGGCAGAAATAGAAAAATGAAAATTTTCTTCTGGGCTGGGCGTGGTAGCTCACGCCTGTAATCCCAGCACTTTGGGAGACCGAGGAGGACAGATCACCTGAGGTCAGGAGTTCGAGACCAGCCTGACCAACGTAGAGAAAACCCATCTCTACTAAAAACACAAAATTAGCTGGGCATGGTGGTGCATTTCTATAATCCCAGCTACTCGGGAGGCTGAGGCAGGAGAATCACTTGAACTCAGGAGGTGGAGGTTGCCGTGAGCCTAGATCGCACCACTGCATTCCAGGCTGGGCAACAAGAGTGAAATTCTGTCGCCAAAAAAAAAAAAAAAAAAGAAGAAGAAAATTTACTTCCAAAACATCAATAAATGCATAAGACAGGTGTGTTTAAAACGCAGACTCAATCCAGGCTAAGTTTGTTGTGCACTTGTGAGAAATGTGTTCCTCTGCATTGATTGATTTAAAAGAAAAAAAAAAAAGAGAGAAATTTGAATTTACTCAGGTCATCCAACTAAAAGGCTAGTGTCCAGAGCACACAGGTGGCCAGGTGTGATGGCTCGTGCCTGTAATCCCAACACTTTGGGAGGTGGAGGCAGGTGGATCGCCTGAGGTCAGGAGTTTAAGACCAGCCTGGCCAACATGACAAAACCCCATCTCTACTAAAAATACAAAAAAGTAGCTGGGCGTGGTGGTGCATGCCTGTAGTCCCGGTTACTTAGGAGGCTGTGGCAGGAGAACTGCCAGAGAATTGCTTGAACCCAGGAGGTTGAGGTTGTAGTAAGCTGAGATCACACCACTGCACTCCAGCCTGAATGACAGAGTGAGACTCTGTCTCAAAAACAAAACAAAAAAACAGAGCACAGAGGTGACTGCCTAGCTGTCCCAAGCACTGGTCAGACCACACCTAGCACGTTATAGTCAAGTCAGGGTACCACAGTTTATCAATTTATTTTATTTTTCGGAGACAGGGTATCATTCTGTTGCCCAGGCATGAGTGCAATGGCATGATCTTGGCTCACTGCAGTCTTGACCTCCTGGGCTCAAGTGATCCTTCCACCTCAGTCTCCCAAGTAGCTGGGACTATAGGCACATGCCCCTATACCTGGCTAATTTTACTTTATTTTTTTTGTGGAGATGGGGTCTCACTATGTTGCCCAGGCTGGTATCAAGCCCCTGGCCTCAAGCGATACTCCTGTCTTAGCCTCCCAAAGTCACTGGGATTCCAGATGTGAGCTACCATGCCTGGCCAGGGCACCACACTTTAGAAGGGGCACCAAAAAACAGTGACTCAAAAGGAACAGATAACAAAAAGCAACATGGGGAACTGAATGGGGACAGGTGGAGGTACCACAAACATCTAGCTTAATAAACAGAAAACTCAGAGAGGACCAGCATAGTTTACTTCAAATATCTAGGGAACTGCCAAGTGCTGTCTAAGGCTTCTCTGGGTAGCTCTTGAGAGGTTAACCTGGGCAAATAGAGGGGGGTTACAATGTAGGAGATCTTGCTCTTAATTAAAGTTAAGTCAAACCTTCGAAATTCAGGCAAGCCTGGCTCCTTTCTCATGGAAACTGCCCTGCACACAGTACCTGCTGAGGGATCAGAAAGGGACATCTGATGCAGAGAGCTCAGGGCCCAGCTGGGCCAGGGCTACAGTGTTCTGGCGGGCAAAGAGGAGCTGATACAATCAAATTGCCTCTCTTGGGAATCTGTTCTAAGAAATCAAAAAAATATGGCAGTGAGCAGTGGGAGCTAAAGATGAAAGGATGCCACAAACCTAGAGGGAACAGACTCTGAGTGGTTCAAGCCGAGTGAAGTTATGAGGAAGCAGAAGCTGAATAAACAGCTGCTATCAGTGAGAGAAAACCCATAGAGCAGAAAGAAAAAAAAATGTATAATGGAACAAAGAAAATGAGATATCATGAGAAGACACAGAGAGATTGGAGCCATGAGACAGTCCTGCAAGCCCCCCTGATTTCTGTAACCGCATTTCCCACCCAGTCCAGGTGCACACTCATAAACAAACTCCCCTTTTTTTCTCAAGTTAAGTTTGTGAACCTTTAGTCATTGTAACCAATAAAGCTTAATAAGAGGATGCCTCCTCTGGGTGGAAGCTGGACCAGAGACCTCTGGAGGCCTTGCCCTTTAGCTGCTCTGTGACTGATGACATTAGTCATAGTCCTTCATGTTTTATTTAAAACACTTCCATAAATTTAGCCCGTTATCCTCATAAACTCCCCTAAACGCAGATAAGGTGGGTAATAATGAGTTTGGGTAAGGAGAGAGGTGGTGGAGTAGAGGGAGGTGAATACTCCTTTTACAGTCAGGAAACCAAAGTTCAGAGAGGTTAAATGACTAGGCCAAGGTCATTGTGCAAGTAAGAAAGTTAGGGTCTGCCAACTTTCAGTTTAGTGTTTTTTATTTATTTATTTGTTTAATTATGTATTTATTTAGAGACAGGGTCTTGCTCTGTTGCTCAGGCTGGAGTTCAGTGGTACAATGACGGCTCACTGCAGCCTCGACCTCCTGGGCTTAACTGATCCTCCCACTGCAGCCACCACAACTGGCTAATTTTTTATTTATTTATTTTTTTCGGTAGAGATGGAGTCTTATGTTGCTCAAGGCTGGTCTTGAACTCCTGGCCTCAAGCCATCCTCCCACCTCGACACCCCAAAGTGCTGGGATTGCAGGCATGAGCCACTGTACCCAGCCTTGTTTTTCCCCATAATTCTATGTAAGTCTCTCCTTCACTCAGGTTTTCCATTTGCCATAAATCTCCTTCCCACATCCCAGACATGTCAGAGATTTCACTGTGCTGCAGGGAAATCTAAGGGACCCCACAGCTGCCCCAAGAACTCCAGTTTTCTCCTTACCAAGGTGCTTCTGCAGGAAGGCTAACATGGCCCGCACCATAACCTCCTGCCCTTCATAGGGGTCCAGACTCCCACGGGTTTGAGTGGAGAAGAATCTACCAATCAAGTTGCCAGTTATAAAAGCAAAGTCAGTTTGACTCCGATGAACAGAACCACTAGGGAAAAAGAAAAATAACTGGTAGGGGTCTGGAGGCTAAGGCATATGTGTTAAGCACCTACTATGTGCAAGGTGTTTTTCATCCATTATCACACTTCATTTTCACAGCAGCCTTGTAAGGGAAGTATTTTTTCCCTTGACAGAATCCAAGGAGAGAAATGATCTGCTTAGGATCAGGTCATACAAGTAGTTGGGGATTGAGTTAGGACTTGAATCCAGATGTGCCTGGCTTCAAAGGTAGCTCAGCCCCTAACTACAACGCCTGACAGTGCAGGGAAAAGGTTGAGCTAGCTGGAGCAGGGACAGGAGCAAGGAGGTGGGGTCTGTGGCATGTGGCATTTCTGTTACTACAATCTATTAGTTACAGCTTTTGCCCGGTGAATTTCAAACACTCACAAAACAAATTAAGACCTTCTTTAGAACTGTACCACAGAGTGAAGACGGAAAAGGAATTACTTGCCTTTATTTAAATAATCAGAAAAGTAAGAGTGAATGCTTTGTAAGAGGCGGTTTCTGGGTTAGAACTTCAGTCCTTTGACACTAAATACATTTAGTGAAATCCCCACTGGGTTAATTTTGGGCTAAATTATTCATAACTAAATTTACCAGTCAATTCAGTGAGAGAAAGCAAATTTAAATGCTAAAGTATTTGTCTGATATCACAGAAAGACTAACTTTAAAAAATGCATTAGTTAAGGCACACAAAAAGGTACATATATATAACATATGGGATACTTGAGTATCCAGCACTCAGTTGAGTAAGTGACATATTGCCAGGAGTTAAGTCCCCTGTGTGTAACCCTTCCCAACTGGCCTCACCTCCCTTCCCTCCTGGTCACAGTTATCTTGAATCTGACCTGGGGAAGCATTCAGGGAGTGTCTACTGTCATGAAACCAAACTGAAGGAGGAGGGGTGGCAAGGCAGCCGGGACCAAGATGAACAAGTGAAGAAGCCACTGGCCATGCTGCTGACCCCAGTGCTCAAGGGCTCTGGATTTGGCATTTCAACTACCCAAGTGACTCCAAAGGTCCATGGCATGTAGTCACTTGTCATTTGCCAAAACAGGAACCAGATCCTGGAAGCCTGTGTGCCGCTGGGCTCGACTGCAGGGTAGGAGCAGTCCATGAGATCTCAGCCCGACATCTGCAGCTCAATATCACCTCCCACATGTGGAACATTTCTTAAAGTCACTAGAAGTGATTTTTTTTCCCTGTGAAAAATGGCTCCCAAAAGGAAACCAACTGATAGTGCTGATGATAACAGTGAAGAAAATATGGCTTCTCTTGACCAGAATACAGATGGTTTATAGAAGACAACATATGTTACCATGACCTGTGATTTTAGTATTCACAAAGGTGTCTAAAATGTGTCTGGTGAATATCAAAGGTCTACCTATTCACATTCTTCAAAAGACCCAATAAAATTCCCTAATGAGGCTAGCAATCTCTGGAACTCACCCAGACCCACACCACTTCCTTTCCAACACACAATCCCATAATGCCCCTTTTCAGAAAGCACTAGGTAAATCCTGTCATAAAGTCAGATAAACTATGGAAGAAATCACTGTAGATGGAGCTTAGTGGAGAAGAGAGGTAGACAGAAAATTCTGAAAGAATTTAGACTTCGAAATTCAGGAAGTATTCAGGTATTCTACTAATGGGTAGAAAGTTCTAGGTAATCCACAAGTTAAGGGTGCCATAGCAAGTGGTGAATGGCGAGGGCACTGGGATCATGACCTTGTGGTTTACTCACAGAACGGTTATGATCCTAGATTGTTCATGCTGGGCACATATCTTCTTCATCAAATTGACGCTCTCCATTGTCTGGAATTTCTCAGCATTGATAAAGAACACAGGGCCTCGGGCCTTGGGGTAAAAGTCACGTTCAAGAGGAAACATCCAAGCATCCAGAGCCACTGCACACCTGTAATAGGACCAGACATCTGGAATTGCGACACGGAATCTCAGGCAAGAGTAGTTAGGGTGGTGGGGGGAAGGGTGGAGTTCCTCCCTTTGTTGGGTAAAGGCTCAGAAAGCAAGGAAGGGGGTACCAGGGCCCACAGCCTTCAGTTAGGATCTTATATAGGAATCACTTTTACTTTTCTCCCAAGATCCTTCTAGATTTCAAACTTCCTGAAGGCAAGGATCAGATCTCCTTCTTCTCCTGGATCTACTCTCAGGTGACTGATCTGAGTTCCACAGAATGGCACTTCACTCATGTAATTATTCATTCATTCAACATTCATTGAGTGCCTACTATGTGTTTTGGATACAGACGTAAGTGAGGGTTCTTGCTCTCAAGGAGCTCCCAGTCCAGGAGGGAAGACAGAACAGACAAGGTAACAAAACAATATAGCTTAGTGCTCTGATTGCACAAGGTGCTATGTGAGGTTAGGAAAAGCCTCCTTGGTGCCAACAGTAAAACCATGTCACCAAGGGCAATATTATGTCCTTAAGATTTAGCCATTTCCCTCCTCGGACCCCTAAAATGCTCCTCCATTCCTCTCCATCTCAATAAGGGACAATTGTCTTCCACTCACATAATAGATACACAAATGAAAAACCTTGGGTTGGTCATGGTGGCTCATCCCTATAATCCCAGCACTTGGGGAGGCTGAGGCAGGAGGATCACTTGAGCCCAGGAGTTCAAGACCAGCCTGGACAACATAGTAAGACCTTATCTCTAACAACAAATTTTTTTTTTTTTTTTTTTTTTGAGACGGAGTTTCGCTCTTGTTACCCAGGCTGGAGTGCAATGGCGTGATCTCGGCTCGCCGCAACCTCCACCTTCTGGGTTCAGGCAATTCTCCTGCCTCAGCCTCCTGAGTAGCTGGGATTACAGGCACGTGCCACCATGCCCAGCTAATTTTTTGTATTTTTAGTAGAGACGGGGTTTCACCATGTTGACCAGGATGGTCTCGATCTCTTGACCTTGTGATCCACCAGCCTCGGCCTCCCAAAGTGCTGGGATTACAGGCTTGAGCCACCACGCCCGGCCTAAAAAATTTTTTTTTTTAATTAGCAGGATGTGGTAGCATGTACCTGTAGTTCCAGCTATTTGAAAGGTTGAGACAGTAGGATCACTTGAGCCCAGGAGGTTGAGGCTGCAGTAAGCTGACTGCACCACTGCACTCCAGCATGGGCAACAAAGTAAGACCTCTGTTGTTGTTTTTTTTTTTTTGCTTTTTTGTTTTTCTTTTCTTTCTTTTTTTTTTTTTTAATCTCAAAAGGTATCAAGACCTCTGTTGTCTCAAAGGGAAAAAAATAAAAAGAAAAACTTGCATTTCCTCTCTTTCCTTCACCTCCCATATGACCAAGTCCTGAAAACTCCAAAACATATCCTGACTCCAATCACTTCTCTCCATCCCATTATCTCAATTCTGATGTAAATTCGTCATCATCTCTCACCTTGACTCTGAAACAGGCTCTCTCTAATGAGCCTCTAGGCTTTCGGTCTTGTCCTGCTACAGTCCAATCCTCATGCAGTAGCCAAGGATCTTTTAAAATGTAAGACTGATTTTTCTCTGTTGAACATTTTCAACAGTTTCCCATCATAATTAGAATAAAATCTACACCTCCTTACCCTGGCCAAACGACCCTGTGCTCTGGTCCCTACTTCTCTCTCTGATCACAGCTTAAACTGCCTCCTGCTCACTCCCTATGCTCCACCCATCCTAACACAGTAAGCTTCTTTCCACCGCAGGGCCTTTGCATTAGCTATTCCTGCTAGCTGGAAAGATCTTCCTCTAGATCTTCATACGGCTGACTTCTTTGCCTTTCCAGTCTTGGCTTCACGTTCTCAGAGACATTATCAGCCTGTTTTCTTTCTTGTTTTTTTTTTTTTGAGACAGGGTCTTGCTCTATTGCCCAGGCTGAAGTGGTGCAATCATAGCTCACTGTAACCTCGAACTCCTGGGTTCAAGTGATCCTCCTGCCTCATCCTTCAAAGTAGCTGGAACTACAGGCATGCACTATCACACTTGGCTAAGTTTTTTGGTTTTGTTTTTTAATTTTTTTGTAGAGACAGTGTCTTATGATGTTTCCCAGGCTGATCTCAAACTCCTGGTTCAAGCAATCCTCCTGCCTCAGCCTCCCAAAGAGCTGAGGTTATAGTAGTGAGCCAACATGCTCAGCCTTATTTTTCTTCACTGCACTTGGTCATGGGGATCTTATTATCTGTTGGCTTTTTCACTTGTCTGTTTCCTCCCACAATAACATAATTCCATGAAATCAGAGTTCTTGTTTTCTTGTTTACCATTGAATCCTCAGTCCCTAAACAGTGCCAAGAACATAGTACTTGTGTAACAAATACTTGCTGAGTGAATAAATAGTGTATGGAGCCAAGCACAGCAACACTACCAGGAAACTCACCGAAACTGGGTCTCCTTCGCCAAAGCCAGAATAGCTGTGGCCCCTCCAAATGAATGTCCCATCACAGCCACACGGCTCAGGTCAATGTTGCCCTGAGGAAAGCAGAGAACTTAGTCAAGTCAAAAACTTAGGACTGCTCTTTAGCAATTCATCAGGAGCAAGAGGAAGAAATAGTGAGGCAATGAGGCCAAAGCCACAATACAGCGAGTGAGCCCACCAACATCACACCATCAAGAATCTCTTGCCTATGGAAAGGGCACCAGTCAAACAGTCCTTGGACTGAAGAGCTTTGTGTAGGCAGGAACTGTGAAAACCGTACTTTTCATGTTTACTTTTGTAATCTCACTACTTAACAATATCGGATCAGGGTAGACATTCAAATATCTATGAATAGGCTGGGCATGGTGGCTCACGCCTATAATCCCAACACTCTGGGAGACTGAGGCAGGTGGACTGCTTGAACTTAGGAATTTGAAACCAGCCAGGGCTCAAACATGACAAAACCTTGTCTCTACAAAAAAAAAAAAAAAAAAAAAAAAACCACCAAAAATTAGCTGTATGTGGTGGTGTGCACGTATGGTTCCAGCTACTGAGGAGGCTGAGGTGAGAGGATTGCTTGAGCCCAGGAGGTTGAGGCTGCAGTGAGTAATGATTGCACCACTGCATTCCAGCCTGGGTGACAGAGCGAGACCCTGTCTCAAAAAAAAAAAAAAAAAAGAAAAAAAAATCTATGAAGAAATACAAACCGATTAGTCTATGAGCATGCTAACAATAAGAGCCGTCTCCATCCTCTAGAATGCCTGCCTTATACACTGGTCCGAGGTTCCTGACACATGGACTGAGCTGACGGTGGAACGGGGATGCTCCTGCTGCCCGTCCATTGTGCTCTGGAGCAAAGACTGCTTGTGCAGAAACCAGTGCAGGTTCTACTTCCTCCTTGGATATGTGTTGTGATTTTTATCCAAAGCCAAGGGGAAGAGTGAGTCTGTGCACTCTAACATTGCTCCTCATGTATCTATTTCTGGTTGTACTCAGAAGCCTTCAGGGTATAGTTATATAAAAAGCCATTGCAGCTGCCTGCTAAGGGGCTCAGGAGGCCTCTCTAGGCTCTGCAGCCCAGCCTCTGCTCTGAACTTCTGCTCTGCTCTCCCCACTGTCTATTCCAAGGCTTTGTACCTAAATCTTCCCCCTTCACTCAGTACCCTCAGATCAACAACTTGGTTGGATAGCCTCTTTGGCATTAAAAAAAAAAAAACAACAGGTAAATATATTCATATATCTCTAAAATCAGAAGGTATACAAAAGTCTTCTACCTACTCTGTTTTTTTCCACATGATTGCCCACCACCTACCTCCAAACAGGTAGCCGTTTCTTATGTGTCCCCGAAGAGATTGCTTATATTCATAAGTCAACATGAATATATACTTCCCCCCTTTTCATACACGTGGCACTGTATCTTTTTGTACATAACAACATTAGTACATAAAGAGCTTCCTCATCCTTCTTCACAGCTGTATTTGACTTGGGCATGGTATAGACAGCTAGCTGATCACCAAATCTTTTCCTCTTCTTCCTGGTCTCACAGCTAAACTATTTCCCAGCAGTTAGATAACAACTTGTGACTGTTCTAGCCAACAGAATGTGAGCAAAAGTGGTATCTCTATTTCCACGCCTGGTCCATAAACTGTCTCATACAAACCTCTATGCCCTTTCCCATTCTGTTGGCTTAATGCAAACAACAAATTTGGGATTCACAAATTTTGTGAGGTTAGACACAAAAAAGAGATTATAAAAGAAGCTTGGATCCCTGAGTTGCCTCTTATATAGGAGCACCCATATTAAACTTCAGGTAGGAGAGAAGTACCTTTCTACTGTGTTAAGCCACTGAAATATGGGGTTTACACACTAGCAATTACCATTCACCAAGCAAATACATCCACTGTCCCATAATTAACCCAGTTCCCTCAATGGTGAGTGTTTAGGTTACTATCAAACTTTTGCTATAACAAACAACACTGGAATGAATAACACTGTCCATCTATCATGCTGCATTTGTGCAGGTATTTATTTGTAGGATAAATTCCCCAAACTGGAAATTACTGGGTCAAAGAAACATATGCATCTGTACTGTTGATGATACCAATTGCCAAATACCCTCCATGGGATGAGATTTGTGTTCTCACCAGCAATGTAGAGAATGTCTACTTCCCCACAACTTAACTGTTAACAGAGTAATCAGTGTTTAGATCTGACTCAATTTGATAGATGAAAATGTATTTAGCCTTTTTTAATGCTGTATTTCCCCTAAAAGGATGCCCGCTTAACTAATCTAACTGGACTATAGCCTGGCATTTCCCAAAGCCTTTTTTTATTTTGAGATATAGTCTCCCTTTGTCACCCAGGCTGGAATGCAGCAGCACAATCTTGGCTCACTGCAACCTCTGCCTCCTAGGCTCAAGCTCAAGCGATTCTCCTGCTTCAGCTTCTGAGTAGCTATAGGCGCATGTCATTACGCCCAGCTAAATTTTGTATTTTTAGTAGAGATGGGGTTTTGCCACGTTGGCCAGGCTGGTATCAAACTCCTGGGCTCAAGCGATCCGCCCCACTCAGCCTCCCAAAAGGCTGAAATTACACGCATGAGCCTGGCTTCTCAGTGCCTTTCTCAGGCTCACTCACAGGCACGCAGGGCTAGACCTCAGTGCCCAGGGCCCCTCCAACTCTCACTTTACCAACAATGTAGCTGGCAAAACACTCTAGATTCCAGGGTCTGCCTTACCTATTGGGCATGCAGGCAGATGCTTCTCCTGGAGAATATTACCAAAGCCTTTAAAATATACATTCTGAAGAGGCTTTGGGGCATACAGCACAGGCTGTAGAATCAATATGCCCCAATTTCATGTGTGACTCTACCACTTACTTAGCTAGATAATCTTGGGGACTTAGTCTTTCTGATCCTTGGTTTCTTTCTTTTTTCTTTTTTTTTTTAATAAACAGGGTTTCACCATGTTGGTCAGGCTGGTCTTGAACTCCTGACCTCAGGTGATCTGCCCACCTTGGCCTCCAAAGTGCTTGGATTACAGGCGCGAGCCACTGTGCCCGGCAGATCCTTGGTTTCTTTCTATGTAAAGAGATAAGAATGCTTACTGCATAAGTTTGTGGGAGGAGCTCTTAAAATAGCAAGTCTCAGCCGGGCGCGGTGGTGGCTCACGCTTGTACTTCCAGCGCTTTGAGAGGCCAAGGTGGGCAGATCACCGGAGGTCAGGAGTTCAAGACCAGCCTGACCAACATGGAGAAACCCTGTCTCTACTAAAAATACAAAATTAGCCGAGCACGGTGGTGCATGTCTGTAATCCCAGCTACTTGGGAGGCTGAGGCAGGAGAACCACTTGCACCGGGAAGGTGGAGGTTGTGGTAAGCTGAGATCATGCCATTGCTCTCCGGCCTGGGCAACAAGAGTAAAACTTGGTCTCAAAAAAAAAAAAAAAACACCAAGTCTCATAAAGCAGTAATTGTAAATATACATGTATGTATTATATATGTATTATACACACACACACACCATTCTTATTAATACAATATAATATGGCATAGCTATTAAATATGATGCAGTTGGGTGCAGTGGCTCATACCTGTAACCCCAACATTTTGTGAGGCCAAGGCGGGTGGACTGCCTGAGCCCAGGAGTTTGAGACCAGCCTGGGCAACATGGTGAAACCTCATCTCTACAAAATACAAAAAATTAGCTGGCATAGTTGCACACACCTAGAGTCCCAGCCACTTGGGAGGCTGTGGTGGCTACAGTGAGTGGTGATTGCACCACTGTATTCCAGCCTGGCTGACAGAGTGAGGCCCTGTCTCACAAAAATAAATAATAAAAGTCATGCTATGCAGGAGGATTGCTTAAGCCTAAGAGTTTGAGTCTAGCCTGGGCACACAGCAAGACCCTGTCTCTAAAAAATTTTTTAAAAATCATACCATAAAAAACAATAATTGGGTGAGCATGGTGGCTCACGCCTGTAATCCCAACACTTTGGGAGGCAGAGGTGGGTGGACCACGAGGTCAAGAGATCGAGACCATCCTGGCCAACTTGGTGAGATCCCGCCTCTACTAAAAATACAAAAAATTAGCTGGGCGTGCTGGTGCGCACCTATAGTCCTAGCTACTCGGGAGGCTGAGGCACGAGAATCACTTGAACCCGGGAGGCAGAGGTTGCAGTGAGCTCAGATCATGCCGCTGCACTCCAGCCTGGCCACAGAGTGAGACTCCATCTCAAAAAAATATATATATATATATATATTAATTGACATAAGAATATATACTGTTTTGCTAAATGAAAATGAGGGCACAAGGCCGGGCTCGGTGGCTCAAGCCTGTAATCCCAGCACTTTGGGAGGCCGAGGCGGGTGGATCACGAGGTCGAGAGATCGAGACCATCTTGGTCAACATAGTGAAACCCTGTCTCTACTAAAAATACAAAAAACTTGCTAGGCGTGGTGGTGCGTGCCTGTAATCCTAGCTACTTAGGAGGCTGAGGCAGGAGAATTGCCTGAGCGCAGGAGGCAGAGGTTGCGGTGAGCCGAGATCGCGCCATTGCACTCCAGCCTGGGTAACGAGAGCGAAACTCCGTCTCAAAAAAAAAAAAAAAAAAGAAAGAAAATGAGGGCACAAAACAGCTTATATTAAATGATAACATAATTGTGTAAAAAAATACACACATTAATTAATATATTTAAAAATAATTGGAAGGACAAATATAAAAATATTGAAAAAGGTTGTTTCATCTTTCTTCATGCTTTTGTGTGATTTCTTGGTTCTCTGAATACAGCCTGAATGACTTTTGAAATTATGGAGAAAAAAGATTGGGTGGGGATAGGACATGAAGAATGCACCTTCATAAGCACCAAATTCCATGTCCAGGATGGTTTCATACCCTCCTGGGAGGGTTTGTGGGATTCCCTCAAAGGGAGGACTGAACCTGCAGTGGATACCGGTTGTTTGCTGCTCAGTAGCCTGAACCCTCTCCCTGCTATCCACCTGGTCCTGTGGTGGGCAATCACCTGACCCAGAAGTGGGACTGTAACTTAGGGAGGCCAATCTGAACATCCTCTCCCTCTGACGCAGGGACTGGAGCAGAGGGGCATGAGACTCACATAGTGTCACAGCTTTCCCAGATTAGTGGAAGCTAAGACAGTCTCTTTTCTTTTTAAACCTGGAGCTGTAAATGGATACACAGGCTTCAACAGGCTAGCAACCATCTTTCTTGCCTAAAGGACACAGTCTGGTGAGAAACCCACATATACACAGAGAAACTGAGGCAGGAGAGGGGAGAGAAGAGTGCCAAGGCTTTGATGATAATGTCTGAGACACTGAGTCTAACTACACTGGCCTCAAGTGGGCCTTTGGTCTTCTTGGTAGTTATATGAGCCAATCAATTCTCTTTTGGTTTAACACTACTTAGTTAGGTTTCTGTTACTTGTAACCAAGAAAGCCCTGAATACTGGGCTCTAGGTCATACCAATTGCTTCCATACCTTCAAAGTCATCAGATCCAAGCCACCAGGCAAGATGTTAAAGACAGCCTGCCCAGCAGTGACCTCTTGCAGGATCTTCAACACCCGTAAACACTCGCTTACCCGCTGATGCACCTGCAACAGAGACAGTCCCAGTGGGAACTGGAACATTCCACAACCGTCCAGCGAAAATCTCATTCATATACAGAGCCAAGGAAGAATGCATAGGAGTTTGCCCACCCACAGCCTCAGCAAAGTACCTTGGGTGCCACATCCTGAGAAAGGCTCAGCTACCTTGCAGCTCACATAAGCACTACCTAACAACATAACATACTCAGCCCCGTTGTTCCGACTCCACCTACCTAACTATAGGGCTGTCAGAGGATCCAATGAGATGATGTATATGAAAGCATTTTAAAAACCAAAGGAATTAAGAGCGCTGTTATTAGCAACCCAGTACTGGATTCCACTTGTCCATCCATATCACACATCTATTGTTTTTGTCTCCCAAGCACTTACCCTGCTTCCTTTTTCTGTTAACCCTGCCCTTTGAGGATGCCCTTCCCACTCCCATTCTAACAATGCATTTCTGATGGGAAGGTCTCATTTTGTTACTTCTCCCCAGGCCTGGAATCCCTCTCCAGGATTTCTCAAACTGCAGTTTTGCACCAAGGTAGGGGACTGAGGGAGCAACTCAAACACAGCCCTGTTCTCATAGACTGACATGAACACACACAAGCTCAGAGCTGTCAAGAGCTGTGGTTCTGATGGGGCGCCTGTGGCTCACACCAGCAACCCCAGCATTTTGGGAGGCCACAGTGAGAGGATTGCTTGAGCTGAGGAGTCTGAGACCAGCCTGTGCAACACAGCAAGTCCCCATCTCTGCTAAAGAAAAAAAATTGTGTGGTGGTGTGTGCCTGTAGTCCCAGCTACTCAAGAGGCTGAGGTGGGAGAATCACTTGAGCCTAGGAGGTTGAGGTTGCTGTGAGCCATGTTGGTGCCACTGCATTCTAGCCTGAGTGACTGAGTGAGACTCTGTCTCAAAAAAAGAAAAAAAAAAAAAGTAGCTGGGCATAGCAGTGCACGGCTGTAGTCTCAGCTACTCGGGACGCTGAGGCAGGAATATCTCATGAGCCCAGGAGATTGAGACTGCAGTGAGCCATGATCATGCCACGGCACTCCATCAGCTTGGGTGACAGAGCCAGACTTGTCTCAGAAAACAAACAAACAACAACAACAACAAAAAAAACACACACAAAAAAACCCTATGGTTCTAACCTTAGAAAGTAAGCCAGTTTGAAGATGAGACCCACCAACCAAGAGAGACAGAAATGAGGATGAAGAACAAACCCTGATGGCATTTGAATCTGGTTCCAATTGTTCTGCTCTTCCTATAGTCTACCTATACAAGCTATCAATTTCCTTTTTTGCCTAAGTAAGTCTACGTTAGATTTCTGTCACAGCAGTTGCAGGAGTACTGATTAATATCCTATGTATTTCCATTGATGTGGCAAACTCTGACTCACTATGACTGAGATTTCAAGAGAGGGTTAACTAAAAGTCTTGTTATCAAATATAATAGACAGAGGACAGGCTCACCAACTCTCCCTCCCCAACTGGCACAAACTTACCTGGGGATTCCGAATATGAAATTCCTCTTCCCCTTCCTCAACTTGACGGAAAGGGATCCATTCCTCTTCCAGCGATTCACTGGTGGGCTGGTTCTCTTCTGGGGCCTGCTTGCAGAAATAGGTGGTTGCTGCTGACCGGTCCCTGAAATTCACACATCATCAGAGAGAAACCAGAAAACATTCTTGAGTTTATTTTCCCCTTTACCAACTCCTCCCTTTCATCCAAGAGCCTCTATATATCACCCTTTGGCTAGCAGGGAAGGAAATCTGGGACATAAATAGGAAAGTGGAAAAAATATAGATTTTAGAGACAGAATTGGGTTTGAATTTCAACTCGGTGTGTCACTTTTGGGAAATTATTTAACATCTTTGAACCTTGGTTTTCTCTTCTTGAAAAGGTGTATAATCCTGGCCTGCATGGTTGTCAAGAGGATTAGAAATAGTACATTGATAGGGGACTAGTCTATATCTTAGCTCACTGTAGGCACCCAATCCATGGCGGCTCATCCCTCACCTGTGCTCTGGCACAGCAACCACAAAGCCACGTGAGGCCAGCTCCATGCAGAAGGCTGAATACAAAGTCCTGGAGATTCAAAAAGAAAGGAGGAAAAGGGATCAAAAGAACAGCCCAGCCTTCACCCGCATTCCAACCACGCTCTGCTAGCAGCCATCTTGTGGAACTACCATATCAACCTTAACTGTCTACCTCTGGCTTCCTTTCACTTGGGAGAGAAATAAACATTACTATATTAAAGTCACTATTATTTGGGGGTTTTCTGTTAAATACAACTTGCCCAATTTCTAACTGATACAGGGAGGTCAGGTTCTTAAGTTCCTTTTTACTTTCTCCCACTTTTCCAGGGAAGGCAGTGAACTGGACTTTAGAGCCAGAGAGATTTCCAATCCCTTCCCAGTTCAAATTGTGTAACTTTGGGCAAGTCTGCCTTCCAGAGTCTGTCTGCCCGGCTGAAAAATGGGCATCCTTGCCTGTCCACCTCACAGGGCTATGTGGGAACCAAATGAGACGATGACACACTGAGAATGGTTAGGTAATTAACTGTACATATTCCTCCCTAGGATAGGAAACCATAGGGCCATGACCCACGGGAAGGATTTCAGAGCCTGAATTAACCACAGATGCAACGAGGGTAAACAATGTCCCTTATCCTCCCTTCCTTTTTCCTTGGAATTTCACTCTGGTTAATGAAGAATATTTATAACTGACTTGCCCAAGTCTAATGAAGTGCGAAGTCTCGATACAGACTCTTAGACCAAAAGGACCACCTCCAAAGTCATGTGCTCACCCGCTCTCTCCATAAATACCTGTTGGCCTAGGAGGAAAATGTTTCTTTGCTTCTTTTCCCTGCTAGACTATAATCTTCCTGAAGGCAGGAACTCTCTCTTCTTCATTACTGAATGCCCAGCCCTGGTACACAGCAGGTACTCAATTTATTGAACAAGAAGCAGCATCAGGCCAGGCGCAATGGCTCATGTCTATAATCCCAGCACTTTCGGAGGCCGAGGTGGGCAGATCACCTGAGGTCGGGAGTTTGAGACCAGCCTGACCAACATGGAGAAACCCTGTCTGTACTAAAAATAAAAAAGTAGCAGGGCATGGTGGCGCATGTCACCCAGCTACTTGGGAGGCTGAGGCAGGAGAATAGCCTGAACTCAGGAGGTGGAGGTTGCAGTGAGCTGAGATCACACCATTGCACTCCAGCCTGGGCATCTCAAAAAAAAAAAAAAAACAGTATCAAAAACCATCTAACTGCCTTTCTAACCTTATCTCCATGTTTACTCTCCACTTCCTGCCGTGAGCTACAGTTACAGGAGTCTGTGTTCCTGCTCTTCTAGCAGATGCGACTTCCTTGATTTGTTAATCTTGGTATGTCCCACCTTCCTCTCATGCCAAGGGGCTGGCACAGAACAGGTGCTCCACAGATGTCTGCTGAATGAATGAGAACCTAGCGCACACACAGCCCTCGTATTCATTCAATAAATACTTATTGGTAAACAACTGCTTTCCAGGCACTGTCCTAGGTACTGGAGCAATAGAAGACAGATATGGTCTCCGCCTTCAAGAGCTTACAATACAGTGAAGAAGACAGGCATTAAAGAATAATTACACGAGTAATTTATTTATTACAATTATGTTAAATGCTGAGAAGTATAGGTTGTCTTATGAAAGCACATTCTGGAAAAATTAATATAAAATAATATATAATATAAAATATAATATAAAATTGTCAGGATGGGTGTCCCTAGGACAATGACATCCCAACTAAGATCTTGAAGGTAAACTGAAATTAGGAGGAAAAGAGGAAGAGGGGGAAGAGGAAGAGAAAAGCAGAATGGTGAATAGTCCAGGCAAAAAGACCAATTTATCTGGAGAGCTACGGTGGGGCAAATAGCAAGGAATGAGCCTGGAAAATTTGTCTTGGACCTGAATCAAGGTGAGACCATAAGAAGAACTGAATTAAGTTCAAAGACTTATTAAAAACTTTAAGTAAGAAGAGACATTCATTCATTCACTCAACAAATACTTACTGAGTACCCATTATATGCTGGGTACTGCTTCAGGTGCTGGAATGACAAGATCATATTTCGTTTCAAAATAGATCTCTCTGGCTACAGTGTGGACAATGGTTTGGGGGCTGGGAGGCAAAAACAGATGCCTTTGAGATGTGCAACATTCTGGGACATAAACTAGACATACATGTTGATGGATGAACAGAGAGAACATTCACAAGCTTAAATAGGAACGAACACATGTACTACCGTTATTTATATAACACACCAAGGTGCAGAAATCGGAATTCATGGAAGAATTCTAAGTGAATAATGAAATTTAGGCCAAAGCTTCCTAAGTCTGGTAAAGGAGACCTTACAGTTTACCTCACCATATCCCTCCATGTAGAGAACATGAGAGGAGAACCGACATGGGTGTGCACCTAGTAGGTGTCAATTGAACGGAATCCTCACAAACTGCCCTGGGAGAGCGGCATTCGTCTTTGACAGATGATGGAATCTAAGTTCGGAGAATTAAACAACCTTCCCAGACTCAAACAGAGCACAAGGGACATGGTTGAGATTTGCAAGTTAGGCTGCTGGCTCCAAAAGTGCAGGGAGCAAGTCCATCTTATTTGCTACTATGCCAGTGCTACGCGCAGAATGGACCCTCATGTTGAATAAATGACTCTTGGTGGGGCACGAGGCTCACACCTATAATCTTAGCACTTTTGGGAGGCTAAGGCGGGAGGATGGCTTGAGCTCAGGAATTTGAGATCAGTGTGGGCAACACACTGAGACCTCATCTCTGCAAAAAAACAGCCAGGTGTGGTGGTACATGCCAGCTACTTGGTGGCTGAGGCAGGAGGATCGATTGAGACCAGGAGGTTGAGGCTGCAGTGAGCTGTGATCACACCACTGCACTCCAGCCTGGGCAACAGAGCAAAACCCTGTCTGAAAAAAATTAAATTAAAATAAATAGATGACACGCTGATCACAAAGCTCGTGCTCCTTCTAGCATTTCTGGGCTGTTACACAGGAAGAAAGCTGAAAGTGTATATTTACATAAATGCTGGACCATGAGAAGTAAAGCATACGAAGGCTGCTGAAAGGCTCCACAAAGTTAAAAGGACTTCAAAAAAGCCTTCTGGAGAAGGTGAACCCAATGCTACGGGAGGAAGCAGATGAGAGATAAGAGAGCTAGCAGATGGAAATGTCTGTTTTTTGCCCTTTGAGAATAAGCTAAGACTCAGCAGCTGTCACCAGGCAAGGAGTATGGCAAGGTCCAGGGGAAAGAAGCTCTTACCTGAAGGCTCCTAGGCCGTGTGAGAAGATGATCAAGGGGTATCCAGAGTCCTTTGTCTTAAAGGGGCCATTCCAGCTAACAGGCAGGCGACAAGATCCTAGCAGAGACATGGGCTATAGAATCTCTGGCTGCCCCAAAGCTGTTATCCCAAGGGCAGCCTGAGTATAGGTATGGGTGGGGACATGTGTTTCTCCCTTCTGGAGAACCACTAAGGGTCCCTGAACAACTCAGGGCAGTCAGTCACCTATTTTTTTTCTCCCTTTCTTACCTATGAAGAGTGAGTACAATAGAAAATGAGAAGCTAGGCCTGGCACAGTGGCTCACACCTGTATTCCTAGCACTTTGGGAGGCTGAGGTGGATCACGAGGTGGGTCACGAATGGGTGGATCACGAGGTCAGGAGTTTGAGACCAGCCTAGCAAACATGGTGAAACCCCATCTCTACTAAAAATACAAAAATTAGCTGGGTGTGGTGGCGGACGCCTGTAATCCCAGCTACTCGGGAGGCTGAGGCAGAACTGCTTAAACCCAGGAGGTAGAGGTTGCAGTGAGTGCGATCATGCCATCGCACTCCAGCCTGGGTGACAAGAGCAAGACTCTGTCTCCAAGAAAAAAAAAAAAAAAAAGGAAAGCTAAGTCCGAAGGGGCAGTACTGAACAACTCTAGGGTAAATTGCTGAGTTGCCAAGGCAATGGGTGGAATTCCTAGGTGTGAGGCCTTTGGGGGAAGTAGTGGACTCAATGTTACCCTACTCAGAAGAGGGGTGACTGGAGGGAAAACTGCAGGAAACTGTATGCTCCTTGATAGTTAAGAACCCTTCTTTGATACACACAATAGCTGGCACAGAGTAGGAATTAAAACATGCTGAATAAATGAGCAATCAGTGCTATTTATGGAACACATTCTATGCCCCAAGCACTGCACTAGAGGCTTTACATACATCCTGTACTACAAACTCGCAAAGGCAGGTATTCAGACAGGTTTAGTAACTTGCCCAAAACCCATGGCTAGTAAATTATAAACTCTGGATTTGAATCCAGGAAAGTCTAACTCAATCACCAAAGCTCTTACATATGTAATTCTCTCCCAACTCTCCACACCGCACTGGCTAATGGATACCCCTTACGAAAGGCTGGACACTGCAAGTTGTAAGGTACTGTGTCCACCTTGGGATCTCCCAGGAACATAACCAAACAACTGGGAAAGCATGTGGAGGTCAGGCCAGCCCTTACCCACAGCCAGGTTGAATAGCAAGCCGCCCCAGCGCTTATTAAACTTCAGGTACTCGGCCAGGCCAGTGCAGTACTCATAGCGGGGAATCCACAGAGGCTGCTCCACGGTCTCCTCCGCCTCTTGGCAGGGGTAGAAGAGTCGAAAGAAGCTCCCCTGTAGGAAAGAAGAGAGCAGCTGCTCAGAGCAAGGAGCCCGGGTTAGATTTCTTTTTTTTTTCTTTTTTTCTTTTTTTTTTTTTTTTTGAGACAGAGTTTCGCTCTTGTTACTCAGGCTGGAGTGCAACGGCGCGATCTCAGCTCACCACAACCTCCGCCTCCTGGGTTCAGGCAATTCTCCTGCCTCAGCCTCCTGAGTAGCTGGGATTACAGGCACACACCACCATGCCCAGCTAATTTTTTGTATTTTTACTAGAGACGGGGTTTCACCATGTTGACCAGGGTGGTCTCGATCTCTTAACCTCGTGATCCAGCCGCCTCGGCCTCCCAAAGTGCTGGGATTACAGGCTTGAGCCACCGCGCCCGGCTAGATTTCTTAACAGACACACTCGGCAGGTGTTTGGGGCACCAGCAAAACAGGGAAACTTGAGGTTCAATTAGCATACCTGAATTTTACATTCAGAAATCCGGAAAGAAGCAATTTGATTTTTAGCATACAGCTAAAGCTTATGTTATTTCATAGACATTTGTAGACAACTGTATTTTGAATTACATTGTGGGAGGGGGCACCAAAAATATTTTAGTGCTTGGGACAATTAAGATTTAAATCTGGCCCTAGGCCTGGAGGAGCCCCAGGAGTTAAAGATTACTCTGCTAACTGAGCCTAGGCCTGGAGGAGCCCCAGGAGTTAGAGATTAGTCCTTAAACTGAGCCTAGGCCTGAAGGAGCCCCAGGAGTTAGAGATGAGTCCTTGTGCTGAACAGGGTGGCACTGGTAGCTCATCCAGGCCACCGCTAGGATGGTCCTTGGGAAGCAACAGCACACTCATTTTACATGGGAGTAGGTGAGGGGTTACTAGGAAGTGTGTGGCTCTTAAGGGAGGCAGGAAGTATAAGGGCTAGCAGAGAAAGACCTAGGAACTGGGCCAGGCACAGTGGCTCACGCCTGTAATCCCAGCCCTTTGGGAAGCTGAGGTAGGAGGGTCGCTTGAGGCCAGGAGTTAGACATCAGCCTGGGTAATATAGCAAGACCCTGTCTCTACTATATATACACAAGTATATATGTTGTTATATATCATATATATGTTAGTTACTTTAAAAGTCCTAGGATCTGATAGAGGACAAGTCCAGAGGTCAAAGACGGAGGGGAAAACAGATCAAGGCAGGAGAGAGAAAGAAAGTTGTCCTCCTACCCAGGTCAGGGATCCAAGGCCAAAGGCACATGCCCATGGCTTTTCCTCTCATACACTCAGATTATGATAAGATCAAAACTTCCAAGGTCAGGCATCTGCCCTCAAGAAAGGTGAGGGGATCTGCAAGCTGTCTTTGAAGATAGAGCCACTCCCCCTTTCCTCCTAGATGGAAAATGAACCCATTATCTCTGTCTATTGGAATATTTCTAATGTTTCAAACGGGGAGGAAAACGCTCAGAGAACACAGACCTGGAAGCTTAATAACCAAATCCAGACCCACTCTAACTCAGTTTCCCCCCCATGGAGTGCAGAATGAGACTTGTAATCAGTAAGTCACAGTGCCAGCCGAAGCAGTACAGACAGAAGGAAGGGAGCTGGGGACACTTACCTGGAGATTCTGACCCTCCATCACATCCCCACAGCCTACGAGATGGGGTCCTGTGACAGGCGGAAAGTCCACAGACTGGTTGACCCCCATTTCATCACCGGGTGAATCAAATGACTTGGCGGAGCTAAACTTGCTGGCTGGATGGGGGAACACAGAACAGCCTCTTGCTGGTTTCCTCTCGGCTTCCTGTTGCTGCTAAGTGTCATCTGCCACCCTGTCCACCCCTCCCTTAGCACCCCATCCCCCCTGCCAGTCACTCATGAAATCTTGCACCTTCTACTTTGCTACATTGCCTTTTCCAAGGTTAGGCGGTTTTTATTTATTTTGCTGGGGTGAGGAGATGGCTGTGAAGGGGACAGAGAGCCATCCATACTCCTCCCAGCCCATTAACAAATATTTATCCAGCAGCTTCTATGTGCACAGCATAGCAGCAATGCTGCAGAGGCGGTCACACTTCTTCTCCTGAGGCTAACAGTAACCACAAAGATCCATTATTTACGGTCAGCACTGTACTGACCTCTTTATAGGCACTATATATATTACATCATTTCATTCTCTTAACAACTCTCTGAGGTAGGTACTTTTTTTTGAGATGAAGTCTCACTCTGTTGCCAGGCTGGAGTGCAGTGGCATGATCTCAGCTCACTGTAACCTTGGCCTCTCGGGTTCAAGTGATTCTCCTGCCTCAGTCTCCCAAGTAGCTGGGATTACAGGCACATGCTACCATGCCCAGCTAACTTTATTTTTGTATTTTTAGTAAAGATGGGGTTTCACCATGTTGGCCAGGATGGTCTTGATCTCCTGACCTTGTGATCTGCCCACCTGAGCCTCCTGAAGTGCTGGGATTACAGGCGTGAGCCACCAAGCTTGGCCTGAGGTAAATACTATTAAGACACTGTTTTGGCTGGGTGGGGTGGCTCAGGCCTGTATTTTGGGAGGCCAAGGCAGGCGGATCACCTGATGTCAGGAGTTCAAGACAGGCCTGGCCAACATGGCAAAACCCTGTCTCTACTAAAAATACAAAAATTAGCCGGGCGCGGTGGTGGGCGCCTATAGTCCTAAACTACTCGGGAGGCTAAGGCAGGAGAATCACTTGAACCTGGGAGGCGGAGGTTGCAGTGCACTGCACTCCAGCCTGGGTGACAAGACCCTGTCTTAAAAAAAAAAAAAAAAAAAAAAAGATCCTGTTTTACAGATGAGAAAACTAAGGCATAGAGAGGTTCAATAACTTTCCCAAGTTACCTGGTGGCAAACCCAGTTCTGCCTAATCCAGAAACTGAGTTCTTAACCATTACTGATCCTGCTCAGGGGGAGAGTCACTTATACATATGCGAAGTCAATGACCTAAGCTTTTTCTTAAAACTGTTTTATTTTTTGAGAGACAGGGTCTAGCTATGTTGCCTAGGCTGGTGTCAAACTCCTGGGTTCACATAATCCTGCCTCAGCCTCCCACGTAACTGGGATTACAGGTAAGAGCCACCACACCCAGCTTTAAACTATTGAATATAGGATGGCACTTGTGCTGGGCCTTTACAGATGGGGAAATTGAGAGGCAGAGGAGGAAGAAAGCACCTATAGAAAAAACGCAGAGATGTGGAAAAGGATGACGCGGGCAGTAGATCAAATAGAAGCTTTCAGCGTGACAGCTGTGCATGCTCCTGACTAGAAAACATTCCTACGGCTCAGCTGCTTCCGAAATTGGGGCCAGTGCTCCCCTATCCCTCTTCAATTTCATCATCTCCAACACCATCATCATCATCATCACACTTACTGTGTGCCAGGAACTATGTTTAGTGCTTTTCATATATTATTTAATTTAATTCTTACAACAGTCCTCTGAGACATGTATTATTATCTCATTTTACAGACAAGGAAACAGATGCTTGACAAAGGCAATTTACCCAAGAACACCACAGGCAAGCAGAGCCAGAATTCGATCATGGGCAATGTGGCTGCAACATGAGAATGTCAAACTTCCCAGTATCCCTTGCCTTGTGATTTAGGTGGGGCTGATCCTTCCTTAACCTCCAGGGTTGAGCCTTCATTAACTGGAGTCGATCGGTCCTTATTCTCTGGTCAGTATTTGGATGAAGAGTGGGCATATGGCATTAGGTTGGTCCATTAAGAGTAAAGCCTGGGACTTTGGTTTGATGGTTGAAGGGAGAAAGGTTCTTCCTTGTTTTAAACTAGTGTGATGTGTAGATGTCATCTGTCAAGTGGCTTTGAACCACTGCAGCCATTTTTGCTACCTTGAGGATGAAGATACCCATGGTGGATGGCAAAACTGGGAGAATCACAGAGAAACAGAGTCCCATTTGTGAAGACATTAAGAATCCACAGATTAGACCATACTTGAAACCTAACCCACTTCTAGACTTTCTAGTTACATGAGTCGATGAATCTGGTTACAAAGAAGTTCCCTTTCTTGTTTAAACCAACTGAAGTTAGATTTCTATTGGCTGCAACCAAAAGCATCCAAATGCATACACTGAGTATGGGGTCCACATGTTAATGATTAAATTATTCTACTTCCTTTAAGATGCTCTGGGAGAGACTCGGGAGTTCCAGTTAAAGCATGTCTGAATAAGAAGAGACCTAAGAGAGCATTTCTGTCAATCCTCCCCACAATTGTCTTCCCCTTCTCCCAGTACATACACCTCCTTTACCAGGGAGGACACCAAAGTCCAGAGAGATTAGGTGAGCTGCTCCGAGTCACAAGCAGAACAATTATTACGATACACAGTATCCTGGTTGTCAGCTGCCACTGTCTGGTCTCAATAATCCCAACATTCTATTCAACTTTGAAAGATAATAAATTATTTTCTTTCTACTACAGATAATGTCTTTATTTTGTTTCTCTTTAGCAAATTTAAAAAACAAACCCAATTCTTTTGAAAAAGAAGCTAAGCTCCTGATGTCAGTGGGCTGTTCAGCTAGAGTGAAGGGGGATGAGCTCTGCTTAGCCTCGGACCCTGAACTTCCCCATCGCTTGTTGCTGAGGTATACACATGGAAGACCTACTGCTGGGGCCACAAGCCACATGTCACTCACATGACAATGAAGCAGCTGCAAGTTCAACTGTCATAAAAGAGAGGCAGATAAAAGACCACAGGAGTTCTGAGAAGAAACAGTGCTCCTTTAGCTTGGAACTAGAGAGCAGGGGAAGATGGGAAAGGCTCTCTCAAGCAGAAGAGAGTGGGCAAAGGTGTGGTAAGAAGGAAGCTAGTGTAAGAAACAGGCAAGGTGAGAAGAGAAAGTTGTGACCAGATCTGGGGAACAGCACTCCCTCAAGGGCTAAGCGAAAAAGCTGGAATCTACTCTGGAAATGAGATCATGCCCACGAGAGACAGTCTGAAATAACCACATTGGAGGCACAGCATCTTTGGTCCCTAGCTTTTGGGGTTTTTTGGTTTGTCTGTATTTTAGACAGGGTCTCGCTCTATCTTCCAGGCGGGAGTGCAGTGGCTCACTGTGGCCTCACCCTTCCAGCTCAATCGATCCTCCCACCTCAGCCTCCTGGGTGGCTGGAACTACAGATGCTTGCCACCATGCCCAGATAATTTTTGTATCTTTTGTAGAGACAGAGTTTCATCATATTGTCCAGGCTGGTCTCAAACTCTTGGGCTCAAGTGATCCTCCCGCTTTAGCCTCCCAAAGCACTTGGGATTACAGGAGTGAGCCACCATCCGGGCCCTGCCTAGCTTTCTTATCTTACACAAGTAATCTGATCTCTCTAAGCTTGATTCTCCATCTGTACAATGGGAACACTATCCATCCTCATAGGGTTGCTATGGAAATAAAAAAATGAAATAATGCATTCAAAGCAGCTGGTGTGGTACCTGACTCTTTTTTTTTTTGAGACGGAGTTTCGCTCTTGTTACCCAGGCTGGAGTGCAATGGCGCGATCTCGGCTCACCGCAACCTCCGCCTCCTGGGCTCAGGCAATTCTCCTGCCTCAGCCTCCTGAGTAGCTGGGATTACAGGCACGTGCCACCATGCCCAGCTAATTTTTTGCACTTTTAGTAGAGATGGGGTTTCACCACGTTGACCAAGATGGTCTCGATCTCTCGACCTCGTGATCCACCCGCCTCGGCCTCCCAAAGTGCTGGGATTACAGGCTTGAGCCACCGCGCCCGGCCGGTACCTGACTCTTAGAAAGAAACCAAGAAACGTGTTGATGAGTGAAAAGTAGAAACACTAGGATTTGGCCACTGAGTCAATCTGGGGAGTCAAGAACCAAAAAGTCAGGTTTTAAGATTGGGGAGGCCGGGCACGGTGGCTCAAGCCTGTAATCCCAGCACTTTGGGAGGCCGAGGCGGGTGGATCACGAGGTCAAGAGATCGAGACCATCCTGGTCAACATGGTGAAACCCCGTTTCTACTAAAAATACAAAAAATTAGCTGGGCATGGTGGCACGTGCCTGTAATTCCAGCTACTCAGGAGGCTGAGGCAGGAGAATTGCCTGAACCCAGGAGGCGGAGGTTGCGGTGAGCCGAGATCGCGCCATTGCACTCCAGCCTGGGTAACAAGAGCGAATCTCCGTCTCAAAAAAAAAAAAAAAAAAAAAAAAAAAAAGATTGGGGAACCAGGACACTAGTCCTTAAGCCTCTTATGGGAAGAGATTTTTCTCTCATCCTGCATAAAGAACAGTACTTACGACAAGAATCAGGATAAGGGGACTTGGAAATGGCCAAACAGAGGAAAGCAGAACTCTGGTGCTCCTGGAAAGTTTCTGGGAGGATCATCAACTAAATTGGTTGGAAATAAAAACTAGAGAAGCTAATTGGCCAGAGTGAAGCTAACATGAAAATGAATCTTTGTTTCCTAGGCTCACATTGATTGATGTCCAAATAGCATGGAGAGATGGAAAAATCCAATCTGACTTGCAAATTTTGCCAAAGAAACATTCACACAAAGCATCTAGAGTTATTTCTTTTCTTTCCTTTTTTTTTTTTTTTGAGACGGAGTTTCGCTCTTGTTACCCAGGCTGGAGTGCAATGGCGCGATCTCGGCTCACTGCAACCTCCGCCTCCTGGGTTCAGGCAATTCTCCTGCCTCAGCCTCCTGAGTAGCTGGGATTACAGGCACGCGCCACCATGCCCAGCTAAGAGTTATTTCTAATAAAAGTCACGGAATTTTCCAAGGAAATCAGTCTGTCTCTACCTTCTTTTGCTCATTTTGTCTAAATGGTTCATGATGGTGCCTGTCCCGAAGCCTCTCCATCCAGCAAGGCCCAGCGAAATCTCTGGTCCTCTAAGAAGCTTTCCCAGGTCCTTCCAACCTTTCCTCCTTTCATCTCTGATCACTGTCCACATCTGTTATCTGGTAACCAATCTCAGGTTACCTTAGGGCAGCTCTTGGATTAATACCTGTTCTAGTGACTTGCCTGCAACTATGCTAGTGGTCCATGTAGAATCTAGATCTTAGGTTCCTGAACCTATCATCACAATCACCTAAGAAGCTTTTCAAAAATGTGTATTCTGGGGCCCCTATTTCCAGGGGTCAATTCATTTGTAAAAGCTTCCCAGGTGCTTCTAATTAGCCAAGTTTGAGAACCTGTGGTCTAGACTTTGATTAGGAGGGTCTTTGGATGAATTTTTCTTTTATTCAGACACGTATGCATGCAACAGACATTTACTGAGTGTATACTCTGTTCCAACTACAGATACACTGAGTCACTTTTATGACTACGATTTCACTGGGTATAATCTCCATGGCCACCCAGAAGCATGTTACTATCACTAGACTTCATGCAGTGCCCTGCATACAGCTGGTCTCAGTAATTAATTTACCCAACGAATACTATTTATTTTTTGGCACATTTATGCTTTATCTCATCAGATCCACTACAGGGGTAAAGGCTGGGTTTTATAGGCCGGGCGTGGTGGCTCACATCTGTAATCCCAGCACTTTGGGAGGCTGAGGCAGGTAGATCATGAGGTCAGGAGTTCAAGACCAGCCTGGCCAACATGGTAAAACTCCATCTCCACTAAAAATACAAAACTTAGCCGGGCATGGTGGCAAGTGCCTGTAGTCCCAGCTACTCCAGAAGCTGAGGCAGGAGAATCGCTTGAACTCAGGAGGCGGAAGTTGCAGTGAGCCGAGCCTAGTCTATGCCATTGCACTCCAGCCTAGGTGATAAAGTGAGACTCCCTTTAAAAAAAAAAAAAAAAAAAAAAAAAACCTGGGTTTTACATTTTTTGGTAGGCCAAACCATCTATCTGCATGCTTTCCCCACAGAGTTGGGATTCAATAAATGTTCCTTCACTTGGCTTTGATTTAAACCAATCTCAAGCCTTCTTTAATCTTTGTGTTTTTGATCTAAAAATAAGGCTATATGGTATAATGCGTGAGAAAAGGTTTTGATGACTCTGAATTCTACCCCTGCCACTTATTAGCTGTGTGATCTTGAACAAGTTTCTCAAACTCTAAACCTCTGATAATTTATTCTCACAACAGAAATAATAACTACGGCCAGGCACAGTGGCTCACACCTATAATCCCAGCACTTTGGGAGGCCAAGTGGGAAGGATTACTTGAGTCCAGGAGTTCAAGTCCAGCCCAGGTAACATGGCAAAATGCTGTCTCTACAAAAAATTAAAAAACAAAAAATTAGCTGGGTGTGGTAGTTTGCAACTGTAGTTATTCAAGAAGCTGAGGTAGGAGGATTGCTGGAGCTTGGGAGCCAGAGGCCGCAATGAGCCAAGACTGTGCCACTGCACTTCAGCCCGGTTGACAGAGCGAGGCCCTGTCTCGAAAAGAAATAGTAACTATTCATGAGATTGTTGATGAGGATAATGCATGTAAAGCCCTTGATGCACAGAAGGTACTATAGAACCATAGGAGGCAGCTATAATTATTTTAACTACATGGCCTCTCTAAGTTCTTTATATGTAAAGTGGATACTTCATAAGTGAAAATATTGCCTAGGGCCTGGGGCATGTTGAGTGCTTATAAAATGTTAGGAACTAATTAACAATGCTATGTCTCTCTTTCCCAGCCAAGGTCTCTCATTTTTCCTGGATTAAGCCCTTTGGCAAAACGGATTCTTTCCCACTAGCCTTTTCAGGCCTGAGACAGCCCTATCAAAGCCAGTGTCTACTGAACAGGTCCAGAAGAGCCAAGAGGAAATGGATGGGGCTTAGGTTGCAGCTGTCCTCTCCTGCTGGGGCCCTGTTTCTGGTGAGGAGACGGCTGCTGCTCTGCCAGCTGTGTGGCCCTTTCATCACTGGATATTTCAGGATACAGTCCAAGAGACACACTTCTCTGGTGCTTCCTTTCAGACAAAGCTCTCTGGAGACTAAAAGCTCACTGGCCTGACCTTTGGTCTCTGGAAGAAGTGAGGAAATATTATCCAGCTCTTAGGCAATGAAGACACCAAAGCGCTCAAGAGATGGGTTTGAGCAATAAGGTGGCAGAACTAGAAAGAGCCACGATAAGAGTGTTCCAGAGCCGGGCGCGGTGGCTCAAGCCTGTAATCCCAGCACTTTGGGAGGCCGAGGCGGGTGGATCACGAGGTCAAGAGATCGAGACCATCCCGGTCAACATGGTGAAACCCCGTCTCTACTAAAAATACAAAAAATTAGCTGGGCATGGTGGCGCGTGCCTGTAATCCCAGCTACTCAGGAGGCTGAGGCAGGAGAATTGCCTGAACCCAGGAGGCGGAGGTTGTGGTGAGCCGAGATCGCGCCATTGCACTCCAGCCTGGGTAACAAGAGCGAAACTCCGTCTCAAAAAAAAAAAAAAAAAAGTGTTCCAGAGCATTAACAATTGTGATAAAAATAATCTGCCTCTCGTGAGGGTCTTACAGTTTACAAGACATTTATACACATACTAACTTGTTGGCTCCACAACACTCCTCACCCTGAGACTGATGGAGCAGCAGTCATACTCCGTTTTAGAGAGGAAGAAACTGAGTCCGGAGTTGCATGATTTGCCCAAGGTCACAGAGGGTGAGAGGCAGAGCTGGCCTAGAAGCGGGTCTGCTGACTTCTCCAGGGTATTCACGGATTGGGAAGAAGGACTGGAGGCCCTCCTTCCACCGGCGTGAAAAACAGAAAATTGAGAGTAAGAGCAAAGTACACAAAAGGTGGAGGAGCATAAAGAAGCCGGAGTTCAGGAGGATGAAGCTGCAGGTTCAGGGTGGAGCCGAGAAATCAGGGCAGGGCTGTGGGGTCCAAGGTAGGGCTAAGGGGGCTGGGTCCTGGGACGGGAGCTCAGGGGGAATTCCTGGGGCGCCGGCCGTGAAAGCGCGAGGCGACGGTGGGAGGGTCAAGGGAGTGGGTGGCTACAAGTGTCTGAATAGAAAACGGAAAGGACGGTCTTCTCTTCCCGGTTCTTCCCAGAGTCGGGAAAAGCTGGGCTGAGAGGGCGAAAAAAAAAAAAAGAAAGAAAGAAAACGAAAAGGACAAAGATGAATGTGCAATTCCTGCGACTGAAACTCCAAGGCCCCAAACCGGGACAGATAGGAAAGTCGTAGGGACCTCAATTGACATATAGAGGCTTTCGCCAACCAAACTTACCCAGTTGAGCTGATCCCTCAGAAGCAGCCCCAGACGTTTGACTCGAAGGAAACGAGAAACCGCCCAGAAGCCCGTGGCCTTTTGGTCGTTGTAGTTTCCAGGGCTCAACATGGACGCTTAGAAGCACGTCCCGTTCCTCACTCTGGAACTACAACTCTCGATGTGCAGAAAGTGAGATTGCGCATTACAACCTAGGACTACAACTCCCAGAGATCTACGCGACCCACCCGCCAGCCCCCCCAACCCTGGTCGTGCGAAACCGCCCAAGTCCCGGGATGCGGTGCGATTCCTCCCCCTGGTGGCCTGAAGAGGAGCCGCCGCTATTTCTGCTCTCGAGCGGAGGCGTTTTTTTGGTAATCCCGTGTGTAACCCTCCGCCTCAACCTCCTCAAATAGTCCTCAGGCGTGCCTAGAAATGGCCCCCGCTTCGCTTTATTGTCAGGGAGATAGGAGGCGATCGGAGTTTGTTTTGTGTCTTCTGCACACTTTGCTTCCTGTAAGAATAACAGACTGTTCATGCAATTAAGGGGACATTCCCTCCCAGCCTAGACCTGTTGACACCTGTGATTTTCCATTGTCCTCAAAAGACTCCCTGGCCGAGAAAGGGGAGGAACCCGAGCGATCTGCTGGGCCGCATCCACCCCGACATCAGTGCCTTATGCTGGCTCTTAGCGACGCGATACCCACTAGCCTCCGCAGAAGGACACGATACCCACTAGCCTCCACGGAATCACAGCCTAGAAGAGATTTCAGACAAATGAATAATGACAGCACAGAGCTGTGATCTCATGGGGGAGACACAGCCAGCGTGGGACCCCATGCCCAGGCTTGGGGGGAAAAGGGCGGTGTCCGCAGGGCTCCTTAGAGAAAACGATGTTAACTTTGAGACCAGAAGGAAAGAACGTAGCCAGGAGTGAAGAACGTTTCAGAGTATGGCAGTCGGTTCAGTGCTGGCTGCAGCTGAGTGTGAGATGGAAGGAGATATTCTTGGGGGGCGGGGGGGGGGGCTAGGCAGAGCCCATCCCTCAGGAGTCTGGGATTAAGTAAACTTCCACAGGAAATTTGGATCGTTCCGGCAGCTCAAAAACGTTCGATGGCTCTCTACTACCTATGAAATGAAGTCCCAGCTGCCATTCAAGATCTTCCTTACCCAACCTGCACGCCCCCACGCCCCCACCCCGCTCCTCTAGGAGCTTTGTTCTCGCCGCCAGAGTTTCCGCCACACTTGGGAGTTGACTCCCACTGCCTTGGGCTATCGCCTGGATTAGAGGTTTTAACTCTTGACACATTGTGAGCTCTTTGAGGTCTGGTACTGAGTCTGCAGTCGCCCCCTCCACCCACTCTTGCAGCCCACATTCCCTCGAATCACCAGGGTCCAGAGTCCCTGCTTTGGGCTCTCCTCTTCTGCCGACACACTTGTTGTCACCCCCATCCTTCCAGGAACCAAGATAAAGTCATCCGGAGAGAGTGTTGGCAGCGCTGCACTGTGGTCATTAAGCCCCGGCTCTCATTAAATCTGTGGCTGATGGCGGCGACCACAGAACCTGAAAAGCTTAGTACAGATCAGAGAGCGGCTCCCTTTGGCCCATTAATCCGTGCTGTGCAGCTGGCCAGAACTCTCATGACAAGCCGGAGGTGCTGGTCATGAGAGGGACAGCTGGAGGTCACTTCAGTCTCCTACTCCCAGACCAGGCTATGCTGCAGCCATTTGCTGGCCAGCTGAGTTTAAAATTCCCCAGGGACAGGCATGCCACCTCCTCCTTTACCTCCTTTGTCCCTGTTAGGAAGATATTCCTTGAGCACAATCAAACTCTTCCCTGCTGCAAAATAAAACAGTTGGGTTTAACCACACTTCCTTCCAAGCCCATCTTTTCTGGGATAAACAACCCAAATGCTTTTACCTTTTTAAGCAAATGGTTGATTTTCCAGCATTTTCATCATAGATCTCATCCCCCAACAGCCTGAAGTTCCCTTCAAGTCCGCTGTCAGCTGCTGTCCCAAGTCTGGCCTTTCCTTTGTTGCTAAATTGCTTCAAGTTGGTATTTGAGTGACCAGCTTTGGATTTTCTATTCTCCCACTACCTGCTGAAGTTTGGTGGACAAAACTTTTTCTGTGGTGGTGGGGAGGACAGTCTCGCTCTGTGGTCCAGTCTGGAGTATAGTGGCAGGATCTCCGCTCACTGTGGCCTCTGCCTCCTGGATTCAAGCGATTCTCCTAACTCAGCCTCCCTTATGGCAGGGATTAGAGGCACATTACCATGCCTGACTAATTTTTGTATTTTTAACAGAGATGGATTTTCACCATGTTGGCCAGGCTGATCTTGAACTCCTGACCTCAAGTGATCTGCCCACCTTGCCCTTCCAAAGTGCTGGGATTACAGGTGTGAGCCACCATGCCCCACCAGTGGACAAAACTTTTAAAATAAAGGTATACAATAAAATATGCAATGTGCACTAATCTTTTTTGTTTGTTTGTTTGAGATGGAGTCTCACTCTATTGCCCAGGCTGGAATGCAGTGGTACAATGTCAGCTCATTGCAACCTCTACTGCCTGAGTTCAAGTGATTCTCGTGCATCAGCCTCCCAAGGAGCTGTGATTACAGGTGCCTGTCACTGCACCTAGCTAATTTTTGTATTTTTAGTAGAGACAGCGTTTCACCATCTTGGCCTGGCTGGTCTTGAATTCTTGACCTATGATTCATCCTCCTTGGCCTCCCAAAGTGCTGGGATTACAGGCGTGAGCCACCAGGCCTGGCCATAATGTGCACTAATCTTAAGTATACAGTTTAACTTCTTAGAAACATTTGCTGTAACTACCATTTACTTCAAAATGTAGAATGTTTCCAATATCCTGAAAGGTTGGCTTCTCGGTTTATAATCCATCAACCCCACCTATCTTCCAGAAGGAACAACTACTTTTCCTTCTCTTATCGTCAACTAGTTTTGAGAAGCAATATTTTTTAACTTTGACAATAATATTTCATGCTCAACGATAGGTGATAATTGTGTCGACGGCATTCCAGTCAAAAACCACCAGAAACGTACCTGTAATTAAACAAGTTGTATTAGTTACTCATTGCAACAAGGGAAAATGCAGGCAATGGGGAAATGGTACAGGGGGGCATCTCAGCAGGAGGGTGGAAGACAGAACTTACAGAATCAGGGCTTTTGTTAGATAAGTTGGGAGAGTTTAAGGAAACAGGCCTTGGCTTCAGATTGGATGCTGTCAAGAGCAGGGGTAATTCTATTACTTGGGTCTCGATAAAATGTACCTAGGAGGAGGGGAGGCTAGACCCAGGCTAAATCTGTCACAGATAAGAAGCAGCAGTCTCTCATTTTGGCAGCGATAGGGGGATGGTTGGTCTTTTTCATGGTTTGGACAGTATGTATCTTTTGTTTGTGTTCAGACATGATTACGAGTGGTCCTGTTTGTGTTTTGATTATCACAGTCACAGAGTGGCCTTGTCTGTTGTTGATGTTCTATGAAGTTGTTTATGTCCAACAGGCCAAGGCCAAGGCCTGGCTGCGTCAGACTGGCCCCTGGACTTCAGGGACTGCCTTCCTCTTTCTTACATCCCAGCATATTGTGATGTCTCTTCTGGGCTGCATGCTAGGCATATAGAAATGATTTGTCTAAAAAAAAAAAAGAAAGAAAGAAAAAGAAAGAAATGATTTGTCTTGGTTGGGTGTGGTGGCTCACGCCTGTAATCCCAGCACTTTGGGAGGCCAAGGTGAGTGTATCAAGAGGTCAAGAGATCGAGACCATCCTGGCCAACATGGTGAAACCCCGTCTCTATTAAAAATACAAAAAAATTAGCTGGGCATGGTGGCATGTGCCTGTAAACCCAGCTACTCAGGAGGCTGAGGCAGGACAATTGCTTGAACCAGGGAGTCAGAGGTTGCAATGAGCTGAGATTGCGCCACAGCACTCCAGTCTGGCAACAGAGGGAGACTGTCTCAAAAACAAACAAACCAAATAAATAAATAAATAAATAAATAAATAAATAAAAATAAAATAGCTGGGCATGGTAGTGCGTGCCTGTAGTCCTATCTACTACAAGGCTGAAGTGGGAGGATGATTTGAACCTAGATGTCTGAGGCTGCAATGAGCCTTGATTGCGACACTGCATTGTAGCCTGGGTGACAGAGTGAGACCTTGTCTCTAAAACAAAAACAAAAACAAAACCTCAAACAAATACATAAACGAGATAATTATATGCTATGTTAAAATGCTCCACGGGAAATAGGATGCTGCTTTGATGGAGGATGAAGGGAGTGAGCTACTCTCAATAGAGTGGGAGGGAAGGATTCTCTGAGGAACTGATATCTGAGCTGACCCTAAGCATACCTACCATTTATTGATTATCCCCTACGTGTCAGCCATGTCGTTAGGTAACTTTCAAATACTTTACATTTAATATTCCTGTGAAGTATCTCATATCCTTTTCATTTTCCAGACGAGAGAACAGAGGCTCAAACAGGTAACAGCAGACAGTGTTGACACCTGCCTCATAGCCCCCACCCCTTCTCTGAGTCCCTTGCCATTGTGGTAGTTTTCAGCATGCTCAGGGCCCCACCACACAAGAGCCTACTTCTATTGGCTTCCTTGCCCGAGAGCTTTCTTAGCTATCTATGAACCAGGAGGAACAGGAACAGGTGTGTTACGTACCTCAGAGGCAACCTTCTTTTTTTTTTTTTGAGACGAAGTTTCGCTCTTGTTACCCAGGCTGGAGTACAATGGTGTGATCTCGGCTCACCGCAACCTCCGCCTCCTGGGTTCAGGCAATTCTCCTGCCTCAGCCTCCCTAGTAGCTGGGATTACAGGCACGCACCACCATGCCCAGCTGATTTTTTTGTATTTTTAGTAGAGACGGGGTTTCACCATGTTGACCAGGATGGTCTCGATCTCTTGACCTCGTGATCCACCCGCCTCGGCCTCCCAAAGTGCTGGGATTACAGGCTTGAGCCACCGCGCCCGGCAACCTTCAACCATCAAGAGCAGGCATCCCCAAACTACTGCCTGCGGGCCGCATGCGGCCCCCTGAGGCCATTTATCCGGCCCCTGCCGCACTTCAGGAAGGGGCGCCTCTTTCATTGGTGGTCAGTGAGAGGAGCACAGTATGTGGCGGCCCTCCAACGGTCTGAGGGACAGTGAACTGGCCCCCTGTGTAAAAAGTTTGGGGACACCTGATCAAGAGAGTTGGTGCCTAAATGCCCAACTTCCCTGTTAGATAAGATAGTCTTTCACCTTTTTCTTTCTTGCTTGCTTGCTTGCTTTCTCTTTCTTTCTTTCCTTTTCTCTTTCTCTTTTTCTCTTTCTTTCTTCCTTTCTCCCTTCCTTCTTTCTTTCCTTCCTTCCCCCTTCCTTCCATTCTTTCTTCCTTCCTTCCCTCCCTTCCTTTTCTTTCTTTCTCTACGTCTCTCTTTTCTTCCTTCCTTCCTTTCTTTCCCTCTTTCTTTCCTTCCTTTTTTCTCTTTCTTTCCTCTCTTTTTTCTCCTTCCTTCCTCCCTCCCTCCCTCTCTTCTTCTCTCCCTCTTTCTTTCTTTCTCTCTCTCTTTCTTTCTTTTCTTTTCTTTTTTTTTTTGAGACAGAGTCTCACACTGTTGCCCAGGCTGTAGCGCAGTGGTGTGATCTTGGCTCACTGCCACCTCCTGGGTTCAAGCAATTCTCCTGCCTCAGCCTCCCGAGTAGCTGGGATTACAGGCACGTGCCACCATGCCCAGCTAATTTTTTGTATTTTTAGTAGAGACGGGGTTTCACCATGTTGACCTGGATGGTCTCGATCTCTTGACCTCGTGATCCACCCGCCTCGGCCTCCCAAAGTGCTGGGATTACAGGCTTGAGCCACCGTGCCCGGCCTTTTTTTTGTATTTTTAGTAGAGACAGGGTTTCACCCTGTTGACCAGGATGGTCTCAATCTCCTGACCGCATGATCTGTCGGCCTCAGCCTCCAAAGTGCTGGGATTACAGGTGTGAGCCACTGTGCCTGGTCTATTCTTTTTTTTTTTTTTTTTTTCCTTTAAATTAAGAGACAGGATCTGGCTCGGTCACCCAGGCTGGAATGCAGTGGCACAAATAGAGCTCACTGCAGCCTCCCAGCACTAGGCTAAATGAAATGAACTGAAATGTGCAGCCGGCTCTGCCTGGTTCACATTCCACAGTCCTCACTGCTGCACCCCGTGACGGGGAGCCTGAAATGGAGCCTAAGCCTTTTACTTATTTTATGTATATATATATATTATATATTATATATATATTTTATATATATAATATATATTATATATTATATATATTTTATATATATTATATATATTATATATTATATATATATTTTATATATATTATATATATTATATTATATATTATATATATATTTTATATATTATATATATTATATTATATATTATATATATATTTTATATATATTATATATATATATATTTGTTTTTTCTTTCCAACTTTTTTTTTTTTTTTTTTTTTTTTTTTTGAGACGGAGTTTCGCTCTTGTTACCCAGGCTGGAGTGCAATGGCGCGATCTCGGCTCACCGCAACCTCCGCCTCCTGTGTTCAGGCAATTCTCCTGCCTCAGCCTCCTGAGTAGCTGGGATTACAGGCACGCACCACCATGCCCAGCTAATTTTTTGTATTTTTAGTAGAGACGGGGTTTCACCATGTTGACCAGGATGGTCTCGATCTCTTGACCTCGTGATCCACCCACCTCGGCCTCCCAAAGTGCTGGGATTACAGGCTTGAGCCACCGCGCCCGGCCTCTTTCCAACTTTTAAGTCTAAGGGGTATACGTGGAGCCTCAGCTTTTCAGTCTGGCTCAAGGCCCTTCGCACCCTGACCCTAGCTGGTCTTTTTTTTGTCTCATCTCCCATCTCCTCATTCTTGGTCACACCTTGCTCCAGGGACAGCAAACTGCTCGGGAACATAACATTCTCCAACCTTGCCATGCCCTGTTACCCCTGCATACCTTTACAAGTGCTGTCTTCTCTGCCAAAATATGTGTTGAATCTGTGTGGTCCAGCTAATGCTCACCCTGGCCCCACTCCACCTAAAGAAAGCCAAATGCCAGCGTCCAACCTTGGGAAGGAACATGTTTGTGCCAAGTGCTTGGCACACCTGAGCTCATTCAGTTGGCACAATGATTCAGTAGCTCCACCCCCAGTTTGCAGGTTGGGAAACCAAGGTATGCAGAGGCTGCGTTACCCAAGGTCTTATAGTTAATGGCTGGCTAAACCAGGATTGAACTCAGATTTCCCTGTTCTGCTACCATACCTTGATGCCTGGCTGTTGGGAAGGGAAGGGAACTGGATTGTTGAGGCTGCTCTCATATTCCCTGTCTGCCAAGCCTCAGTGTAGAGATGGGGGGCGTCCCCCAAGGCAGCTGCCAGAGCCCTAGCTGAGAGAAGCAGAGGGCTACAGAACCCAGAAGGAGGCCAGGCTGAGGGGGCTTCCCACAAGGAAAGGAGCCGGACTTCCTGCTCACTCCCACCTGAGACGGGGAAGCATTACCGTTTCTGCTTTCTGGCTCCTTCCAGGCCTTTGGGAGTTTACTTGGCTTCAACAATGTCCTGCTTCCCAGAATCTCTCATCAAAATGATTCTTGGAAACTGGGCCAGTTCGGGGATACCTAGAGGCCAAGGCAGGGCTGAATTCCTGCTCTTAATGTTCTCTTCCTGGCTTCCAGCCTTGTTATTATCAAGCCTATCAGATGCCTGGTAAAGGCTTGCTGGTCTGCAGAACATGAGCTGATTTGGTGAGCCCCAAGTTCTCAGTAGTTTTGGAGAAATTGGATGGGGTTGGAATGGGAGAGGGGGTGGAAACCTTGCCAGCAATATCATGCCAATCCTTGCTTAAAATTTCTAGGAAGACTGCCTAGCCTGACACAGCACTGGTTTTGGGCACGGGCAGGGCAGAGAGGTTGGCAGCAGATGGGGTGCAGCACGTGAAGTAGAGTAGGGCATTCTGGGGTCCCCAGGGCAGTTTTCCTTTCATGATCAGAGCCCACTGTAGGCAGCAATGCCAGCTGGGAGTCTGAGAAAGTTATACAAACATGGCAGGTAAAGTGGGTCAGGGAACCCGGGTGGGGGTAGGAAGGGAGAGTGGCAGTGGGCGAGGCTGGAGGGGAGGGAGGTATAGAGAGGCCTCTGCTTCGGTAACTGTGAACCCTGGCCAGTGATGAAGTAACCATTGTGCAGTCTTGAGTTTTGGGAACCAGGTAATGGAGTGTGTTCCAAGAACGGACTGAGGGCCGGGCGCAGTGGCTCACGCCTGTAATCCCAGCACTTTGGGAGGCCAAGGCAGGCAGATCACCTGAGATCAGGAGTTGGAGACCAGCTGGCCAACATGCCGAAACCCTGTCTCTACTAAAAACACAAAAAAAGTAGCTGAGCGTGTTGGTACCTGCCTGTAATTCCAGCTACTCGGGAGGCTGAGGCAGGAAAATCGCTGGAATCCAGGAGGCAGAGGTTGCAGTGAGCTGAGATTGCACCACAGCACTCTAGCCTGGCGACACAGTGACACCCTGTCTCAAAAAAGAAAAAAAAAAAAAAAAATGGACTGAGGCCAGGCAAAATAAAATAAAATAAAATAAAATCCCTCTGGGATTGCTTGCAGCCTCCACAACAGAAGTTGCAGTCCTTACAGAAGCCCTTCCAGATCTGGATCGATTTCCCTCAGCCAGGCAGATTCATGCCTGCTTTGCATCCAACGTGACCAGCCAGTCCCTAGACACGTGTGTGCTCAGCCACCTCTGTGCATTTCCCACCCAATGTGAGCAGCAGGTCCCTAGACACTGCGTGCGCTCAGCCACCTTCATGCATTTCACACCCAATGTGACCAGCAGGTCCCTAGACACGTGTGCACTCAGCCACCTTCATGCATTTGTTTGTGCTGCACTTCTCCCATCTGCTTCCTGTCTAGTCCTTCAAACCAGTAGAGATGTCACTTTCTTTGGGATGTTCCCCTTGTGCTTCTCTGACACTTGTTGACATCCCCAGGACAGCACACATAGCCCTGCAGTGCAGTGATCTGGTGCAGGTCTGCCTCTGCCTGTGACTGTGGGCTCCCGGAGGGTGAGGGTAACTTATTCATTTTTGTGGGTATTGGTTAAAAGAATAAGGGGCCATCCCAGGTAACATGGTAAGACCATGTCTCTACAAATTTGTTTTTGATTCTCCTGCCTCAGCCTCTTGAGTAGCTGGGATTACAGGCGTGTACCACCATACCACAGCTGGCTGATTTTTGTGTTTTTAATGGAGACAGGATTTTATCACGTTGGCCAGGGTGGTCTCAAACTCCTGACCTCAAGTGATCCGCCTGCCTCAGCCTCCCAAGCACTGGGCTCACAGGTGTGAGCCACCGTGCCCAGCTCTACAAAACTGTAAAAAAAAAAAAAAAAAAAAAAAAAAAAAAAAAAAAATTAGCCAGGTGCAGTGGTGTGCGCCTGTATTCCCAACTACTCGGAAAGCTGAAGTGGGAGGATCGCTTGAGTCCAGGAGGCAGAGGCCGCAGTGAGCCATGATTGCTCCATTACATGCTAGCCTTGGTGACAGAGTAAAAGTCTGTCTCAAAAACAACAACAACAACAAAAAATGAGGGGCTGAGTAAGAGGCATGAATGACTTCGGGGTTTAACCAAGTTAGTTTAAATTGGGCTAAGACAATAGGGAGCAAGAGGGACAAACTGGACAGTGAATGACTTGTGTGAAGGAATCCAAACTTAATGAAAGAAAATCAGGGAGAGGGTGGCAGCCCATGCCTCTAGTCCCGGCTACTCAGGAGGCTGAGGCGGGAGGATCGCTTCAGCCCAGAAGGTCGAGGATGCAGTGAGCTATGATCACACCTATGAATAGCTGTGGTACTCCCAGCCTGGGCAACGAGCGAGACCTAGCCTCTACATTAAAAAGTGATGTTGGCTGGGTGTGGTGGCTCACACCTGTAATCCCAGCACTTTTGGAGTCCAAGGGGGTGGATCACCTGAGGTCAGGAGTTCAAGACCAGCCCCGCCAACGTGGTGAAACCCCATCTCTACTAAAAATACAAAATCAGCTGAGCGTGGTGGTGCATTCCTGTAATCCCAGCTACTTGAGAGGCTGAGGCAGGAGAATCGCTTGAACCCGGAAGGTGGAAGTTGCTGTGAGCCAACATCGTGCCACTGCACTTCAGCCTGGGCAACAAGAGTGAAACTCTGTCTCTAAATAAATAAAAAAATAAATAACTCATCAGGCTCCTGCCCGCACAGGTCTACAGTCAAGATATCATTTTTTTAAAAAAAGAGGAAGAAAACTGGTGGGTGAAACATAGGCTCTGATAAAACAACAAAATGCTAGTATTTATTGTGCCCTTACTCTGTGTTAAGAAATGCAGCACTGTGGTTCCAAGCGTGGACTCCCGGTTTGAGGCTGCTGGGTTTGAGTTCTGGCTTTCCTGATTGTTAGCTGTAAAACTTCAATCATCTCATTTAACCTCTCTGAGCCTCAGTTTCCTTATCTGCAAAATAGAAAGAGTCACAATATCTACCTTAGAGGTTGTTGTGAGGATTCAAGGAGTGAATAGTAAATAGAAAGCACATAAAATAGTGTCTGGGCCATGGAAAATTTCCAGGAAGTGTCGGCTGTTATTGTTCCTTGATGGTGAGTGTTCCTGGCTGAGAAGGCCTGGCTGAGAAGGTGACTGTAAACTGAGCCCTGGACATGGAAAAGAAGCCATCCCTGCTGAGTTCTGGACAAAGATGTTCTAGGCAGAGGGAATAGCAAAGGAAGGCCCTCAAGGCTCTGCTGGGTGTGAGGGCAGGAAGAAAGCAGTGGGGTGGAGCCCGGGGCAAGGGAGGGCAGGAGGCCAGGGCTTGGACGGCAGGGAGAGGCCAGAGCCCAGCAGGCCTTCTAGGCTGTAGAAAGAAGTCTGGATTTTATTCTAAGTATGATGGAAGCCATGAGGGACTGGCTTACTATTGTTTAGATTTGGTGAAGCCAGCAGATCAGGAGATGACCGCCACTGAAAAGCAGTTTGTTAGGCCGGGAATGATAGCTCATGCCTGTAATCCCAGCACTTTGGGACGCCGAAGTAGGTGGATCACCTGAGGTCAGGAGTTCGAAACCAGACTGGCCAATGTGGTGGAACCCCATCTCTTTTTTTCTTTTTTTGAGACAGAGTTTCGTTCTTGTTACCTAAGCTGGAGTGCAATGGCGCCATCTCGGCTCACCGCAACCCCCGCCTCCTGGGTTCAGGCAATTCTCCTGCCTCAGTCTCCTGAGTAGCTGGGATTACAGGCACGCGCCACCATGCCCAGCTAATTTTTGTATTTTTAGTAGAGACGGGATTTCACCATGTTGACCAGGATGGTCTCGATCTCTTTACTTCGTGATCCACCCGCCTCGGCCTCCCAAAGTGCTGGGATTACAGGCTTGAGCCACCATGCCCGGCCTCTTTTTTTTTTTTTTTTTTAAGAAAAAAAAAAAAAAGAAGTTTGTTATACTCACAGAAGAAGTTTGTTATACTCTCTTGGGAGAGGAGGGGGCATGCTATGCCGTGGGAGACACACGGGGTCTGTCAGGTGGCAGAGGGGAAAAGGTGGGCAAGAACCTTTAGTGTGGTTTGGATCCCAAGGATGGGTTCTTGGGCTGTCAATGCAATAGAAATTGACATGAGGCCAAAAGAGTTTAACCAGACCAGGCTTTATTGGAACTTGTGCCTGGGCATAAGGGAGGCAGCACAAGACAGTGAGAAAATTCCCTGGCTGACTCTCTGAAAAGAGCTGGCTGGTAATTTTTATTAGGCAAAGCATGGGAATTGATAGTGGGTAGGTTATGCAGTCTGGGCCAAGCAAAGCACGTGAGGCGGACTCTGCAGGTCCTCACGTCTGGTTGGCTGGTTTTCTTGAGCAATGGGCCACCTGGTGGTGGTCTGGCAAGCAGCAACAAGCCTGTAAATCAGTTGGATCTCCTAAAGCCAGTTCCTGGATTCCTTGAAGTAAAAGGCATGGTTACACATTATGAGTGCCCAGAACAATACAGAATGGTGATTTTCTTTGTTTGGCTAAACCTTCAGGGTTAGCCGGTATGGTGTCAGCAAGATGCGTAGTGGGTTTTATGAATCAATGTGAATGTGTGAAAGAATGCTCCAGGAGCTGAAGCCAAACCCCGTTCCCGCTCTGTCTAGTTTCAGGAAAGGAACAGTCAAGGCAGTAAGCAGGCTTAGCGTTTTCTAGTTTGAATACAATGGTTGGGTGACCCTAAACGAGTGATTTCATTTTTTTTTTTTTTTTTTTTTTGAGAAATCACTCGTCTAGGGTCACCCAGCCAGTGTGGAGGAAATCCCGTACTTGAACCACGGTCTATCTGGCATCAGATCTGCTGGACTTTTTTTTTTTTTTTACTTTCCATTATGGAAGAAAAAGCAGTGGATTTGTTCAGTACCTGCTATGTACTGGATGCTATGTTGAACACTTTAGTTTACATCTAATCCCAGAGGTGTCATTTCCTTAAATTGCTGTAATAAGCCATTAGCAACAGAAGAGTGAGACAGTCACTTGAGCCCAGGAGTTCAAGACCAACCTGGGCAACATAGTGAAGCCCATCTCTTAAAAAAACAAACAAACAAGAACTAGCCTGGCATGGTGGCACGTGCCTGTGGTCCTAGCTACTTAGGAGGCTGAGGTGGGAGGATCACTTGAGCCTGGGAAGTTGAGGCTGCAGTGAGCTGTGACTGTACCACTGCACTCCAGCCTGGGAGACAGAGCAAGACTGTCTCAAAAACAAGAAAAAAAAAAAAAAAAAAGGAAGAATGGTGATAATACCTACCTCAGAAGACCCTTGAGGATACTAAGTGAAATTTTTGCATATAAAGACCTCTTTCTCTGCCAAGTGCCTGACATGTTAGTGCTTAGTAAATGTTAGTTATTCCACTTTCCAAATAGCATTTCAAGATTCTGTTGCATCAACTCCATGCTCCCAAGTCCACTGAGCAATTCTTCCCATTCCTAGTTTTTAGCTATAATATTACACATGTCTTTATATAAATTGGTGAGGTTTAAAAAATTTCCCTGACTTTTCTTTCTTTCTTTTTTTTTTGAGATGGAGTCTCACTCTTGTTGCCTAGGTTGGAGTGCAGTGGCTCGATCCTGGCTCACTGCAACCTCCACCTCACGGGTTCAAGTGATTCTCCTGCCTCAGCCTCCCAAGTAGCTGGGATTACAGGCGCCCACCACCACACCTGGCTACTTTTTTTTTTTTTTTGGTCTTTTTAGTAGAAACT